TCAGGACCGGAAAATTTAAAAGGGTGCATTTAATTTAAAGCTTGTGTTACCTCAAAAGCTGAGTAAGTTCGCATCAGTGAATCATTCATTCGTTTAGATGCCTTAGGTTGCACCCTTTGCAAAACCGCATCAATTATCTCAGGAGATGGCTTTGAACCGGAAAAAATGGATCCAAAATGGTCAAAGATAATGTTCTCCAGATCATCATGGGAGTTGCACTATTGCCCCGCATCATTGAAAAGGCCATTTATCTGATTTTGCTTCCGTCGCATGGATGTCTGTGCATGGAAGAAAGCTGTATTCCGATCCCCCTCTCGATACCAGTGAGTTTTACTCCTTTGTTTCCACATAGTATTTTTTCAATCCAAAACATCCTCTAATTGATTTGTTAAAGTCCCAATTTGAGACTTAATAGCATCAGAGAGAGTCCCTTGCTACAGCTTAGCAATCTTTTTCCTTAGGTCGTCTGCTGCAGAACAAACATTACCAAATTTTGATTTGCTCCATTGTAAAAGACCCATTCGACATTTATCAGTTTTCTTTAACAAATTAACACAAGCATTATCCGCAGATGTACTTTCCCAAGATTGTTGAATTACATTTTCACAATTATTCGCCTTTATCCACATGGCTTCGAACATAAAACATTTAAATTTCTTCGCCTCATTTGTAATCTTTGAAGATTTAATGAAATTCTCAAAACTAAAAACTAGAGGCAAATGATCAAAGAATATAGAGTGCACATGCTTGAGTTTTGAATCAGGGAATAAGTCCACAAAATCTTGAGTTGCACAAGTGCGATCAAGTCTTGCTCTAATCGTATTTTGATATGTCCGACTATGGCACCATGTATAAGTGAAACCTTCATAGCCCATATCATGCAGATTACTATCTATCAAGGCCTGACGAAAATTCATGATTTGCTAGTTATTTCGTGGACCAGAACCTTGAAATTCGTTTTGGCTAAAGACTTCATTATAATCACCAATACAAAGCCAGGGGAGCCAAGATTGTGTGCTTAGTTGTCGGAGAGAATTCCAGGAATATTTTCGCTTTGAAGCATCAGGATGTCCATAGAAGCCAGTGAAACGCCATATGTAATTTGGCATATGAACATTAGCATCAATAAAATTATTTGCAAAGCGATTCAATGATATGTCAAGATCTTTTTTCCACAGGAGAGCTAACCCACCAGAAGTGCCCTGCGCATCCACACCAATACCAACCATCCAATTTGCTACTTCAATTTCTCCACAAATCTACTAGAACACTTAGTTTCTATCAAAAAAATAATTGAAAGTTTTTCCCTCCGGATAAAACTCCGGAGTTCATGAACTGTGCGGAGGTTTTTCAACCCCCGACAGTTCCAACTTAAAAGGCTCATGATTCTTGGCGAGGCTGGTGACCAGCCTCCGCCATTGATATACCGTGTGATGCGATTGAACCAACTGTCTTAGATTTCTTGGAAAGAGGAACATCTTCCATATCAACATCATCAGAGAGGAAAAAATTTTCAGGACGTTTCACCTTGCTGTCTAATAACCTTTTATGAGAAGATTGAGCCGTAGACGACATCAAACTTGATTTGGGACTGTCAGTGCTCTTTCTCCGTTTGAAGGTACTAGCCAGAGACCGGAGTTTATGGATATCTAAATGTGTTTTTTGTTCTGCCAGAGGTGCATCAACTAGGAAGAGTTCCGATGTTTTGAGAAGAGTGGGGGAGCTGTCTGTAGTTTGGGTATGTTGTAGGACTTTACTAGGAAAAGCTGGGGAAGTAGTTGAGAGGGTTGGAGTAGGGATAGGAAAATTGGGATTCATGTTTTCAGATAGTTGGTATGCGTAAGAGTGGAGGTGGGATTATTGGATGTTGTATGAATAGGTGGCTCAGATGAGGAGGGAATAGGATCAGAAATTATTGGGGATATAATAGGGACAATAGTTTGTAATTGGTTACTCCTGGATTGAATGAGAGTCAAATTTGGCAATTGGCTTGAGGTAGTTAGAAAAGCAAAGAATTTGTCCTGAATTATTTGGTTTTCTGGTTGGACTATTGAAGTGAAAGAAGCTTTAGGTGCTTTGTTTCGAGTGTTGGTTTGAATTGGTATGTTGTTATCCAAAGGGGCAGACGGTCTTGGTTTATTGTGTGGTGCAACGGGGAGGCGAAAAGAGTCATCGGTGGGGTGGGTTGAAAAAGAAGAGGGTTTATTGGTAGTCCATAGAGCTGCTGTACTCTTTGATTTGGGTTGGAGAAGATCCAAATTATTAGAGATAGAGGCAGAAGATTTACCTTTGATTAGGTCTTGATGTCTCTCTAGGTCATTATCCAAAGTTGCAGATTGGGCATGATCAAACTTTGAAAATTCAAGATAGTCAGGTGATGCGGATGCAGTTGATCTGTTTCTCTTATCCGTTCCTTGTGGCACGCAATTCTCGTTATCGCTTACCGTTGCAGCTGGCCGTGAGTGTTGTTGGCCGGAAAATGATTTTTCCGGCTTAGCTCGAAGCCATCCTCCATATTGCGAATCACCAGTTTCATAGGTTGCTGCATCAAGCTTCAATTCGCAATCCCGCTTGCCATGGCCAATCCTTCCACAGTAGAAGCATAATATAGGGAGCCTTTCATATTGAAAAAGCACCTTATGCACCTTGCCTTCAATGAACAGATGCATTACTCGCTTAAGAGGAGATTCAAGGTGAATCTTCACATGGATATGAAGGAATTTTCCCCAGGCAAACAAGTCACCTTTTGATTCAAAGCCTTCATAGGCCCCTAACTTATTGCCAAGGTATTCTGCTGTTTTGGCATTCATCCAACTCAATGGAAGATTATATACACGCACCCAAAAGGAGCAGGTGTCAAGCTAAATGTTGGTTGGCTAGACGTTGCCGATATAATCACTGATGACCAGTAGATTATCATCAAAACACCATGGGCCACCAGAGAAAACTTTTTTCTTATCAAGCATGTCATTAAATTTAAAAAGGAAAAGGTTATCTCCTAATAAAGTGTGGATGAGACCCTTGGATGGGTTTCAAACCTTCTTTATAGTACCCATCAGCGCTTCACCATTGAATTGCTTTCTGGTAAAAAGTTTGCCTAAGATGCACAACTCGCTTAAAGAATCTTCAACATCGTCCGCATCGCCCGACAATAAATTTACTTCTTCTTCATCATCACGAATACGCAGTTTTTCACATATTCTTTCCAGTTCTTTAGCCATGGAAGCCAGGACAAATGATACAGTCTCGAAAGGAGCACAAAAGGCACAAGACTGCTGAATGAATCACGTTCTGCAAACTTGCATGACCCAAAGGAAGTGAAAGTTTTTATTTTTTGAAAAAATAAAATCAGAACAGAGAAAAACTTATTCATGGAAAAAATATGACAAACGGGAACCCAATTGAGTGTAAGTTGGAATGCAAACTGATTGAAAATAGAATAGAATAGTTGTTTGGGGAGGTCAAAATAGGGTGTTGGACTTCCACTAGAAACTAGGGAAGAGAGCAACCGGCACTAGCAAGGAGAAGGCCCACAGAGAGCAAAGCGTCTCATGGGAAGAGTTCAATTATGTTTGAATTACTTAATTATGCTAATGTTTGGTATTTATCTGATCCACATAAAACAAGATTCCAAACTAACTATTAATTATATGTGTTGATACAGTCCTTTCATGACAATGTATAAAACAATCTATAATTGCTACCTCTTCAAATCATGTTGAAATAATAACAATACATAAGGTTAGGTAAGAATGTATTGACTAAGATCAATGACCCATTATATTCGAAAAATAGTAGGTTATTCTCTGAAAAAGAAAGTCCTTCAATTATATTTTATGAAAATAATGCAGTTTGTATAACTCAATTAAAAGGAATATATATTAAAGGAAATAGATCGAAATATATTTCACCAAAATTCTTTTTACTAATGATATGCAAAAAATGGTGAACTTGATGTGCAGTGAATTCGATCAAGTGATAATATGACAGATTTATTTACCAAGGTATTGCCGACTACAATATTTGAGAAATTAGTGAAAAATATTGCAATGTATCGACTAAAAGATCTTAGTTCACGTTGGGATCAGGGGGAGAAATTGAAATCAAGAATAATGCATTCTCTTTCCTTTATTTGAATTTTTTTCACTAGATTTTTCCTAATAAAGTTTTAACGAGATATAATAGTTGTGTAGTAGACATCTAAGGGAAGTATTATGAAATAATTAAATAATTATCGATGTCTAATAACGTTTGTCTTATCTCATAGATTTTTGAGATGATAAAATTATCAGGACTTTTAAGGTGATAAACTTGTCATGACCTTAGAGAAAATCTTATCATCAATATCTTAAGAATTATAGTTATTTGATATATTTTGAACTCTTTTGTACTCTCTTTATAAATAGTGGTCACCCCTCTCTTCTATTAGTGATATATATAATTCAAAATCATTTGACAAAATGAAAGATTAGTTCTACTTTTCTCTTTTCTAAATTCATCAGTTTTTTTTATTCTCTTAACATAGTGCTCACCATATAAACAACACAAATCTTACATCATACACAAATCCTACATCATCATATTAGTATTATTTTTACCATGTGTCTAACAGAGGCATTCATTAAGGTATAGTTCAAGCGTTATATTTTTAAATAATTAGAAAATGTAAATAAATATAAGGGAAGGTAGGCAAGATTAAATAACAAAAGTATATAAATGTAAGAAAGAATAATAATTATCAGTATATTTATATATATGGTAGGTTAAGTGAATATTAGGTGTGCTAAAAATTGCCCTAAGAGTACCCATTAAAAAACCCTTAATTTTACGGCACAAGTAAACTTTTTAACCACCCAACTGAAAAGGACAAATTTATAGACTTACTATAGTATTAATTTATAACACAAGTAATTTTTTTTTTTTTTGGAGTAAAGTTCTCTTCCAACTAGTATTACTAAAGCTGTGTCTGGTATGCTGTTAGTTTTACATGACGCTTAAAAGATCTCAGAGCATATGTTTTTCGTATTCACGGCATTAAGCACAGGACTCAGCTTTTTCACTAGGGAAGACCAGGATAACATACAAGTAAAACCACTGATACAAAAGTTTTTACTTCTTATTTTCTGCTCTAAACCAGGATTGACAAATTATGTGCTACGTTTCCTCTTTTGTACAGTTTAACCACAAAACCAGATGCCGAGAACATCATAACTTTATTAGAACCATTGCCCCTAGAAGTATTCAAATTCTACGTATGAAGGATCACTAGAACTACTTTTGTTTTTATCAGTTGCAATCTCTGCCATCTTCTTGTCTGAATGGGCTGCCTCTTTATTAGCAAAATGCCCGAAATCTACAGGTTCAGGGATGTGGGGTGGTTGTGCACTCCTGACTAAAGCCCAGTTCACACCTTCAAAAAATGCGTGTTGCTTTATCTCTGTGGCGCCCCTCTTGTATGCAATTCTCTTGTGTGGCTCTTTAACCAAGAGCCCTCTGATTAGATCACGAGCTGGGAAGCTCACTTGTGGAGCTTCTGGGAATCGTAACGGTTGGCCTACGACATTGAACAATGTCGCCCTATTCCCAGACCCCTTAAAAGGAGTTGTCCCATGCAAAAGCTCATATAAGAAGATTCCAAATGTCCACCAATCCACTGCACTGCCATGACCCTCACCTCGTATTATCTCTGGGGCTAGGTATTCATGTGTTCCGACAAAAGACATTGATCTCACATTAGTTGGCTCGGCCATCAGCTCTGGGAGGGCTCCACCAACGAAGAGACCAAAATCTGATTTAGACTTCCGATTCTTTTTGCTAGGAAGGATACGAGGGAGAAAAGCTGATGGCTGCATACATCCATGCACTGCATTCTCGTCATCTAAAATGCCACCAGCATTAGAACTGGCATTTCCTGCATGCACAGATGAAGATTTGACTAGTGTAGGACTGACCGAGCAACGAAGTGACAGGTCAAAGTCAGAGAGCATAATGTGACCCTCATCTCTCACCAGCACATTTTCTGGCTTTAGATCCCTGTAGACAATTCCCAGCATATGCAAATATTCAAGTGCCAACAGAACTTCTGATGCATAAAACCTACAAAAAGTTAAGACTGCATCAGTAACAAAATCCATCTGTCACAGAACAACCATCTGTATGCTTCAATCTGAGCATGTAGGCAAGTCTGTGATCTAGGTTTAAAGCGTTACTGCAATGGAAATCACAGCTAATACCATATTTGACAAAATTTTCCACCAGAAAAAAACAAATAACAGTAAGATTAATTGACATCTCAACTGCAATTTAATAATTTAATGAGCAGTAGAAATTGTGCAGAAAAAAGTGCATTAAAAGGAAAAGATGGTAAAAGCCAGGATTTTGTTGTAGTTCCAAAGTTAATTACTGCAGGCACAATTGAAATGCATAAATAGTAGCACAACAAATTACCACGTCTCTCAAAACTATCACCAGACGGCAGTTGAAGTTTAGCTAGTGTATGGCAGAAAACTCAGTATTGATGGCATTACAACCTACAAATGTTTTCCCTCATCTATTAGCAGACCACTGTTTTTCCTTATGTCCGTTTTCGCTTCATATCACATTTGGCTTCATACTTTGAGAAGTTTTCTAGAATTATCAGCAATCAAATTGAGAATCTCTCTCTTCAAAACACTGTTTTGGATCCACTCTGTTTGGAGTTATAACATAAGCATAAAAATGGAAACGAAGGAAAGAAAAGAAACTTAAGCTTAATGGAATACACAAGATGAGGAAGCACAAGACTTGCCTCATTTAGGAATTCACAACAGAATAGAAATGATGGTTTCTTTCTTCACTTGGACATTAAACAAAATACATAAGTAAAGGTGCTTTAACAAGTCCACATCATATTCTTGTAATTCTCATTTTTCAGCACAAATCTTCATGTTCAGTTCTTCATGAAAAAATGTATTAGTATGGAGAAGGAAATTGCTAATAAGATATCTGATCCTTTCAACAATTAATTCCAACTCCGAAGAGACGAAATTTAACCAGTGGAAAGATGCATAGATCTCTACATATTTTTCTTTATTTTTCTTTTCTGGGGAAAAAATTATTTTCAGGCCTCTTGTTTTAACCCCCATTATGCCATGCTGAAAAGTCCAGTGTTAATTTCATCTTACAAGCATACCAGCCCTTGCAAATAAGTATCCTTGATATACTTAGTCAGCATGGAATATTGTTCCATACTAAGTACTTTCAAGGAACAAAAAACTGAGAAGCATCAAAATTTCAGAAAAATGCAGAAGCATAAGAATCTGCCCGGTCGTATGAAGCGAAACAAAAAAGCATGTAAAGCATCCTAACAGTCACACTGCTGGATTCATAAAGCCAATATGCCACAAAATGCTGCAACTAGCAATTCTTGGAATATACTTTACCTTCCTCTTTAACAAATCTCAAAAGCTCAACCAGTTTGGCAACTTGCAGAAGCAATAACTGGTCTAATGCTAAGTCCACTAAATCATACCTCTATGATGTTCAGATACCATAGATGGTCCACCAAGAGATCTCACAAAAAATGGTAAAAGCAAAAAGCATCCGGTAGCCATGAAAAGAGAGATAAATCAGTTAGTCAATAAATCTCACCTAGCAGCATCCTCAGAAAAATACTTGTTGGGCTGCTTTTGTCGAAGAGTATGAAGATTACCTCCACTGCAAAATTCCATGACCAAGCAATAAAATTTTTCAGTTTCAAAATAAGAATACAGGGTAGGCAAGAATGGGTGATCAAGAAGACTGAGGATCTCCCTCTCAGTTTGAGCTCGAAGTAGCTTGTTTCGACTTGCAAGAGAACCTTTGTCCATCACTTTCATGGCAAAATAAGTGTTAGTTCCTCGAAGTTCAACAAGATAGACACTTCCAATGTCTCCATAACCAAGTCGCTTCAAGAGTCGAAAATTACTAAGGCCAAGTGGAGAATCCTTTAAAGAGACGGAATTAATGGCATCCCATCGAACATCACCGCCAGTGTGGGGCTTAAGATGTGTGGTGGAACTTTCTATGCTGTCACTACGCGTGCTACTGCCACTACCCCAGCTAATGACCAATTGAGGACTCATATGATCATTCATCTTGGTGGCCATAGACATTATGGATGGTCCACAAGATAATGTAGACATCAGATGCTCAGAATGCGTCCCTGAAATTGAGCCATGTGCTGCACATGTTTCACTTGGAGGATTTAAACCAGACACGGTTACCAGATCAACTTTTTGAACATTCAGAGTCGAACTTGATTTAGATTGGAAATTTGCATCCATGTGGAGGGGTCCAAATTGTGATTCACTACTTACATTGAGGCTATTCATGTCCGTATCTGATTTCTTTCGTTCACATGCAAAATTAGATGCTGAACTGGTAAAACCCTTGATATCCAGGTCCATGTTAGACTTACTAACTGTGTGTTCTGATGACAAGTCACTCATCTGCACAAACAAAAGCCACGTCAATGTTTTTACTGCCGTAAACCAAAAAAAAAAAAACACCAAAAAAAGGAAATAGAGATGTTCTTCCATTTCTAAAAAGTTTGTTAATGACTGCACTGCTAGCTGAAATAGAGCTCAATAAAGTGACTAGTGCACTTACAAAGGATGGAAGATGTAACAAAGAAAGAGGTAAAAGAAGATAGAGAGTAGCGACAGCATAGTGAACTTAAGCTACTGACTACCAAAAGACTAGAATAATTTTCTCTAATTTTTGCTCACCACTAAAGTGGAAAATGATTTAGTAACTTGTCATAATGTGTTATTTCAGAAGTTAAAGTCTGGCATTTCAGTCTAGAGCAACAGGAAATGATAGGGAATGAAAAAAATAACAAAAATAACGAGACAAAAGTGGCTAAATAGAAGTGATGGGATCTAATAGATAAATTTGCCATACAAATGTCTGCTAGAAAGATGACAAAGAAAAGAATGCTTTCGAACAGCTATGAAGTATAGACAGTGCTTCTTCTCTTTCTATTTTTACATCCCTTCTCTTCATACTTTAGCACTGTAAAATCACTTCCAAACTAACGCACACTGGTCATTGATCCAGGATATTTCTTAAGTGCATGTGGTGCTGTGGATGGACGTTTATCAGAATTCTAGTTGAAAGTGTTCAAATAGACTGCACCTTCCACAGTATTATATGAAACAAAGGAATTCTTACTAGTTGCCCCATAGCACGTCCCACAGAAAACAAAAAAGAAGAGAAGAACATCAAGCACCATAATGACACATTAAAAAAGGAATAATGTTAAGCACTTTTGTCACAAATAGGAATCCAATCAGACTCCTCTCCCAATGAATACAAAATATCTAACCAGAATAAAGTACAGTAGAAAAATCTGAACACACAACATCAATGATATCCATCAATGTCACCTTACGGAAGGCATACCGCAATATGAATGATCCACAAAAGATAAATTTGAAATAGACATGTAGATCTGCAATGCTAAACACGTATGAGACTTTGTACTCAGGCTTTGATGACATTGAAACAAGACTCACAAATGATTTCGAAAAGTTGCTTGCAGAAAGTACGTGATCATTATTGATTTCAAGCTGCCAGTTACCAGGTGCAAAATGAATTAACACTGATGGACGTTACCTTTAGCTTTAGACTAACTTGAGTGTCTTAAAAAAAAAAAGTGTCGACAGCAAAACAGGCATTCAAATGTACCTTTTTTTTCATTTAGCAACAATAGGCCTAACAAAAACTGGAAATGCAATTTGGCAGCGGCTGCAGTTCAAAAGCTATCATGTTGCATGTATAAGTTGGTGGCAAGCTGCAATCAAAGGCATGCTATAAATGAACCCGTTGGACCCGAGGGCTCCCATCAGCAGCCACAAAGAAAAAGGGAGGGAAAAACTGCAGAAATAACAACTGCAAATTCAAACAGAAGCGAAGAAAAATAGAAACGAACCTTTTTGAGGCTAATTTAGAATGCTACGGCCTCCCTTTGGTTCACTGCATTAAGAGATATAATCATGCAAGGGGAATGGAAATTGCCGGAAGGTAGGACGTCGTATCGGGTGAGGCCACCATTTTGTGGAAATGCTGCATTCCAATGATAATCAGGGATAGAGGGGAGAGGAGGAGGAGGAGGAGGATCGGGGGAGAATGGTGGCAACAATAGGTTGGTATTGGATCGAACACATGGCCCAACGGCTACAACGAGGAGGGGGAAGAAGATGTTGTTAGTTGTATTACAACTTGAATTTCCATAGAAATTGTGATTGCTCCCGTCATTTCTGTTTCGGTAGTTGTTTGAAAGGAGAAATTTGTGGGAAGGAGGAGAGAGAGTGGCAGGACGACTATAATTAGGATAACAATTACTAAAAGTGGAATCCATTTCAATGTGCTACATCCCCTAATCTTATCTTATATTACATGACTGGCTCTCTGTAAATGCTCCACACCCTCCCTCCGTATATGTGAATGCTGATGCTGATGCTGATGGGAAGACATTATTGGATCGCAGGAAGCAAGAGAAGAATAATATAATGTAACCAACATTTAATATTTCTTTTACTAATATTTCCTAAAAATATATTATTACCCCTTACAATTAGTATCGGCAACGGCATCACCACCACCACCAAAACAACAACAACAACAACGACAACAACGAGACGAAAGGCATTCTACTACTAGTAAAAGGAATTGGTCTTCGGAATGGCAGATCAGCGAGACGAAAGGATCGGCGTTTAATTTTGTCAAAGTGTGGTCGCAATGAACTCCACCCTCACCCCTCACTACTCATACTGTAAGGACAAATGGGATACTTGCGCAAATTGATGGGTGGGAAAAAAAGAAAAAGGATGATGACAGTTATTGCCACTAGTTATATCAGTTTCAAGAGCAAATTACCTCAACTTTTAAATAGTCAAAGATTTTAATCATTCAACTATTAATAGTACATTTTTATCCATTAAATTATCAAAAAAATATAAATTTTGTGATATTTCATTTGATTCTATCAGATACAATGGCTCGCACGATGCACGAGACATACTATTAATAGTTAGATATGGTAGAATTAACTATGAAATTAGACGGAATGACCCAAAATTTAGACTTTTGATAGTTTAGTAAATACAAACATACTATTAATAGTTGAATGACTAAAACTTAATTATTCAAAAAGTTTAGTTGCTGTGCGAATAATTTGCTCCAATTACCCCTATAATTAGGGGAGATTGCAATTCATCCCACGAAACTTATAACTCACTCCTGATAAATGATAATATATGGGAGCGTTTGAAAATTACAGGGGCCAACTTCAAGAGAAAAGAATATTTTTCAAAATTGAGTGAGTGCAATTGTTAAAAAAAAAAAAACTTAAAATTTATTGAACTTTCATATATATTCTTTAAACTAGGGAGAACTGGGGAGAGGGGGGCAATTGTCCACTTCACCTAAATGTTGCTCCACTACTGCCTGCTTGTGCCAAACAACAACACTAATAAGTGCTCATTTTCCATGTTTTACGTGGTTATCTATGTGTTTTTTTGGTTTGTTTTAATCATATTAGGAGTGTATGTTCTAGGATTTTAGTTGAGTTTTGCATTGTGTTGTTAAAATAAGAAAAGTTGCGTTTCTATGGAACTAAGCGGTGAAAACTTAATGTTTGGTAGGTTTTGATGATTTAATTATCAATTGAAGGGAAGTGACAAGAAATTTGTAGGATTCTTGATGATTTGAAATTTATTTCAAATGACATGAAGTATGACAGGATCAAATGATGAAATGCGACGAAGAAACATAGAAGAAAAGATTAGCAAAATGACACATTTTGATATTTTGGTTATAACATCAGTTACAGACATTGAATTGAAATGATTCTTAAACTATTGTAATTATAGAGAGAGAGAGAATGACTACAATTTTTATGAAGATATCAAAATTAGTTTTCACGTTTTCATTTCCAAATATCCAGATCACATAAATACTTCTTTGTTGCTACAATCTGAAGCAGGTTTCTGACTAGTTTAGTATTTTTTGGTTGTAACTGATCACGTAAACTTGCAAATGACTTGATTCTTGATCCATAGAAAATTAACTGAATTCGAAATCTTTCATTGAGGTAATTGCACTTCAATTCAGTGGTAAGAGAAAGCAATGTCGCAAATCAGTTATGCAAGTTCAGCAAATATGAATCCGTCAGTAGATCCATATGGGGATGTCGCGGATCCAATTGCGGGAGCAGCCGAAAACAAAGTATGATGGAACCTCCGGCAGGTTTGATCGGATCTAGGTACAGATTCTACGTTGGTTTAAGGGGGGGCAAGAGTTTTTCCTTACTTTTATTTCTTACTCCTCCTTGCATATTTTTGCATCTCTATAAATACCCTTCAAAACCAAGTTTTGCAACAACTTTGGAGGGTGGAAATAACTCACAAAAATGTAGATTTTAATTAGAACTTCCTAGTTTATTAGATTAGTTTAAATTAAATAGGTTTAATCCAATCTTTCTTGTATGTATCTAAATGTCGATGAAGATTGAGAATTAAAAATGAAGAGATTGGAGACTCATGCAACAAAGCTGACTTCTCTCTAAGCTGTTTATTTCTTGCATTGAGCTCCAGTGTTCAGTTATAATATATAAGTTGGTTATTTACTTCCCTTTCTCTCTAAGCTCTTTATGCCTAAGGTTTGGATGGAAATTTTATGTTATGTGTTGTGATGTTTTCTTAGTTATTTAAGCTTATAAATTGTACAAGTTATTAAGTAGTTTTGTTATTACGATCATAATTAATCAATCATTAATTGTAATTATCTCAAGGTATTAAATGTTATAGCAAAAGTAGAAGTTCAATACTAACTCATGAAAGTGCTCAATTTATAGAGTATGCTTACAAAAATAAAGGTACACCTTTGAATTTATAACTAGTTTTATAACTCTAAAAGTCTATAGGTATTGTTGATATTGATCAAAGCAAGTATCATGTACATTAAAAAAATTGCACCATAACATAGTTAAGACTCAATCAACTGATAATTTCAGTAACAAAGATAGTTAGGAAATCTTAAATCCTATAAGCCTTTTTATTATTGTTTTTACTTTCTTTCGTTACATGTTTGTAGCGTAGATTTATTTACTCGTATTTGTGATCATCAAAATAATAAAGAGACGAAACAGCATTGGTAAGTGATTCGACCTTCCTTGTAAGACTGACATTCGAATTATTCCAATATTCATGTATGATGTATATACTTGCAGTAGTGAAAATTTGAATTTAAATAAAACTTCACATCAAATACGAAATCGAAGTTTGATCGTATAGGATAACTCTGATGCTCAAGTTAACGTATTTACAATCTAGAGAGAATGGGTGGAGTTGTTATTACCTCGACCAAGCAGGGTACAAAGGCTATTTAAAGGTTGTGAGGAGAGAATGTCCCAGATGTGCGACTATGCCAATCTATGTAAGAATGCAGATGGTGCATGCCAACTAAAAAGACGAAGAGATCGAGAGACACAGGGAGTTTCCAATAAGAACTCGGGAATGCTGAACTCCTGCGTCACGACATGGATTTGGGGCAGGGACGGTCATACTGATGACCGTCCCTGCACGGTTCATGGTCCAGATTGGACTTCAAAAAAATGTGCGGCTCAGATAACAAGTGGTAACTCGATTTTCGCGTCAAGTGTGGGCCCACCACTATCTGTTGTGAAAATACAACCTGTGGAAAAAAAGTTACACGGTGAACAAAAGAAGTTACGCGCTGTTGATGAAGAAGAAATTTGTCAGGGACGGTTGCACCTGCAACCGTCCCTGCCCCGAGTCCGTCACGACATAGTCCAACTTTCAAATGTCAAGAATAAATGGAAAAATTCGCAATCTTACTTATATGAAGGTGTCCAAGCCTCCAATGAACAGTGTTTTTTCTCCGCTTTCCCCTTGATTCTGTGGTTCTTTTTTTTGTTTTTTTGGGAGGGGGGGTGGTTCTCAATATTTGATTTAGTCCCTTCTTGGTTCCAATTTTTTAAAAGTAGTGATTTAATTATGATATTTATATATTTTTTAAATTTTATTTTTATAAATTTAAATAATAACAAGTATTCCCTCCGTCCCATTTTGATAGTCCTGTTTTCCTTTTTCGTCTGTCCCAAATTATAGTCCACTTTCCAATTGAAAAATATAGTTGTATTTTAATTTTTCTAAAATATCCTTATTTAATATAAGTTGTTGTTACTATAAACCTACCCCATTTAATGAAAGTTGATTCTTTTTTTACCATCAATTTAAGTTTTCATAAAATTGTACTCTATTTAATGTGAGGGTATTTTAGGAAAATAACAATCTAAATTTACTTTTCTAACAAAATTAACTATTTTTTCTTAAATTGTATAAAAAAAGAAACAGTACCTTCAAAGTGGGACGGAGGGAGTGCATGATTAGAGACGGAAGGAGTGCATGATTAGAGGAAGATGCAATATATATTAAAAAGAGAGATTAAAAGTAGTTTGACTTTCTCAATACGATAAAATAGAACACTTGGACGGAGGGAGTAGTTAATTGGGGAGCTCTTGGTCGGTGGAGTTTGTGCTGGACGGTGGGCTTCTGGATTTTGGTGCTGATTTTGTTTGAGGGGCATTCTTGGTTTTTTGCCTTATTAGTGGGGGCCTTTTGGTCAGTGGAGTTTCTTGTCAGGAGCTCAGGTGGCAAATTCCGTTTGGCTTTGAAGAAGCATTGCCCGGTTAAGCTTCTGCTGTTTCCCACGTGTTTCATGCAAACCTCAGTGGAATTTGCTTGGCTTAGAGCTTCGATCGATGGAGACTGGAGAGCTTAGTAGAACTGTAGAAGTGGCCTAACTTGCATCGAGGCCGCTGCATGTCATAATTTGTTGATCGGATGGATGAGGAATGCCATGATAATGCGCTTCCGGTGAATCTTTTGCTCTGTTGTACTTGTTCGAGCGGGGGAAAAGGAAGGAAAAATACCGGTTTTCGTCCCCAAACTTTGGACACAAGACACATTTCGTCCCTCATCTTTCGGGCATGACACATCTGGTGTCTGAATTAAGAATTTTAGACCAAATATTATCCTCAAACGGCAATTTATCCACCATTTAACGAAACCGGTCACGTGAGATTCACGTACCGTTAAAGCTTCTGTCCGAAAGAACCCAGGTGGAAAAGGACGTTGTCTCCACTTTCCTTGTCCAAAACCGAATCTGAGCTCACTCTCTCTCTACAAGCTCACTTTCCCCTTTCCCTTGCCTTTCACTTTCCCTTTTCCTTTCACTTCAACGACTTCCTCTGCAAATTTTCAAGCCTAAGCTCAAGCTCCATCTGAAAATTCTGCCGAGAGCAAATCCCCTCTTCCAAATCAAATTCTGCCAAGAAATAAAGTAGAAACTTGCATAAAGCAACACCCAGCATTGTGGCTGTATTTCCCTAAAATGAGATCTAGAAATCTTGAGTCGTCATCGTCATCGTCATTAAACAGCATTGTTAAGGTTTTATAAATGACTGTTTTAGTTCTTGGATTACACCTTACCTCCAAAATTTGGGAATTTACCCAAATTTTCCATTTTCTAATATTCCTACAAATATGCAAAATTATGCATATCCCTCAAAATTCCGCCTGCATAATAACGTTGAAACCCGCAAGCAAGATTCTGTGTTTTTTCTATTTCAAGGTTAGCTCGCATGCGGGTTAATGTTATATTTGAGCGCGAGAAGAAAAAATTGGTAATTAGGCTCTTTGGGCATTATAAGTAAATATTTAAATTAATAGCAGTTTTATTACACCAATATTATTGTATTATCATTATTATGATTATTGTATTATTTCTTAGGCAAATATAACATTTAATTATTTAAATTTGATTTTATTTTTACAATTTATAAAATTTTTATCACTTATATAATATTTTTAAAACCCTAATACATCTAAATTTGATTTTATTTTTCAAATTTATAAGATTTTTATTTTAAAAAAATGGGATACGGATAAGATATCCGGTTGGTTCGATTTGCATAGGTGCATATGAGAATATCCGAATACTCTTTAAACCCGCATGCGGGTTTAAGGAGATTATGGCAACTCTCTGACACACTAGTTACCTGTCCAACTTGTGTGTATTAAAATATATTTAAATATTATATTTCATATTTTTGTTATTTAGAGTTTAACAAAACATTAATATTGGGTAGATTTGAGGGATATGCATAATTTTGCATATTTGTAGGAATATTAGAAAATGGAAAATTTGGGTAAATTCCCAAATTTTGGAGGTAAGGTGTAATCCAAGAACTAAAACAGTCATTTATAAAACCTTAACAATGCTGTTTAATGACGATGACGATGACGACTCAAGATTTCTAGATCTCATTTTAGGGAAATACAGCCACAATGCTGGGTGTTGCTTTATGCAAGTTTCTACTTTATTTCTTGGCAGAATTTGATTTGGAAGAGGGGATTTGCTCTCGGCAGAATTTTCAGATGGAGCTTGAGCTTAGGCTTGGAAATTTGCAGAGGAAGTCGTTGAAGTGAAAGGAAAAGGGAAAGTGAAAGGCAAGGGAAAGGGGAAAGTGAACTTGTAGAGAGAGAGTGAGCTCAGATTCGGTTTTGGACAAGGAAAGTGGAGACAACGTCCTTTTCCACCTAGGTTCTTTCGGACAGAAGCTTTAACGGTACGTGAATCTCACGTGACCGGTTTCGTTAAATGGTGGATAAATTGCCGTTTGAGGATAACATTTGGTCTAAAATTCTTAATTCAGACACCAGATGTGTCATGCCCGAAAGATGAGGGACGAAATGTGTCTTGTGTCCAAAGTTTGGGGACGAAAACCGGTATTTTTCCGAAAAGGAAAGGCGTTGGGATATTCTGCAACTTAGGACTTGACCTCTTCTTCCGGTTGCTCGGCTTTTGCGCTGCTCTTCCTGTATGTGAATTGGATTTTTCCTCGTTTCGTTTGGTGGTTATTTGCACTTGCGATTTATGGCTCATGAAGTTTAACTGCTTGGGAGCTGGTATTTTTCTTCATTATTTGAAATGAAACATGTACAATAAAAATTTTTCATATACATCTACAGTAAAGTTATTGAAAAACTCCCACTATTTTAAAATGTTTATCAAATATTACACCAAAATATTCCTTAAGAAAAAGAAAAGCTTAAATCGACAAACAAATTTGATGCAAAATTATCTAAATTTTCACAACTAAAATACACTTATGATCATTTTTAGCCATGTCAAGAATCATTAGGTGTCAAATTCTTTAACATTTTATACATGGGATTGCAAAAATTTTAGAAGTCGAAAGGCCACAAATATATAAACAATATTTGGAGGGATAAAATTATACAAACTTAATAATTTAAAGACCAACTCGATATTTTGCTCTTAGTAAGTTAAACTAAAATAGTTAACTGTTTATATGATAAACGTATAAATGATAATTTGTTTGAGTACCTTGAAATATCAAAAATTACACTTACCTCCCTTGCTTATTTACGCATTTAATATGACAATACCATGTTCACATTTTAATGAATCTTTCCTTGTTTTTTCATGTTTATACCAAGAATTGGTTTTAAAATTATTTTTGCTTTTGCTTTTCCCTTTTTATTCCTCCCTTTTGCCAGCAAGACCACAGAATAATCAATATTGCCCCTAGTTTCTATTGTATTCAAATCAAATGTCAAACTAGTGATCTTTTATGACAAGTTAGCTTCGAATGTGATCTAATATTTTTGTTTACCTTTTCCTTTTTTTCTGGTATTAAAATCAAAGTTCAAAATCAGTACAGCATACTATGGTGGTTCTACCACTCCAAAAATCCAGAAATACTTGAAAAAATAATGGCAACAATTTCTTCTCCACCTCATAACGATTAAGTAGACGCGTGGCAGTTATCATAAATGTGCTGGAAATTCCCAAAAAAAAATATTCGGAGTTCTAGAAGCAATTTACAGTGAAGCACAACTTTGGTGTATAAAAAGTTTTCAATGCCACAATCGATGCGCGATTTACTTGGCTAAATAATAACAACCCCAAACTGCCTGAAAAATGGTTGAATTTTGTACACCCAACCGAAAAGTAACCCAAAGCCCAACACAACCTTCAAATTAGGGAACAAATTGAGCGGGTTTGTGGATTTGGGTTTAGACTGCCAAGCCTAAAATACTTCTCCTGAGTTGAAGCCATACTATTATACATAAACGACGAGCTACAACACCCACAAGGAAAGGCATTTTCTATCAACTGCTTTAGCTGCAAAAGCAAGGCCTGTGTCTGATACATTACACTTGCAATGTTGTCCAGAAACTCAACCAGCTATAGTTCACCCCGGCATTTTGCCTATCACGGTAATGCTTGTAACTTACAGAAACTATAAGCCCAAAATGAGCTCCTAAAAATAAGGATATTAACAATTACTAAGCCAGCGGAATTTCATTCTCTTGCAACAGGATCAAGAATAATTCACCTTTCACCATGAGTCACCCAGTTTTTCCCCAAAATATGACTGTTATTGCACATTGATGCTGCCGCAGGTTGCCAAGGGCATTACCACAAGAAATTGCTGGCAGTGACTTTGGTCATCAAAGGTGGAAAAAAAACTGTGTCATCAAAGTTGCTTAGTCATCAATATCTTGGACCCATGCCAAATCTGCCAACAGAATGCACCCGCAACATCATCATTTAGGCAAGGATCTTGCTTAATATGGAGCAAACATGGTTCGAGCATTGACATACGGACTAGCAATCATGCATGTAACAGTGCCATTGCCCAAGCTTTAAAGGCAAATGCTACTGCAATTTCTTATCCCTGATACTTTTGACTTTTCTAAACCAACAAAAATGCATGGTACTTATTAAACCAAAGAAATGGTTAGCTGAAAGCCTCAAAAACTCTATTACTCGAACTCTACTCCTCCCCAGGCATACTTATCTCAGACATGACATGACAAAGTTAAAGGGTGAAAAGGATGCAAAGTTTATATCATGGTTGAAGCCACCATAAGTGCATGAGTTGGATTTCAATTCTAACTATGTCTAATGTCCGTTTTCTTCCTTTTCCTGTGTACATTTTTTACTTGTGCAGCACTCAAATGATTAACACAATAGTAGATATCCAGATAAAAATATAATTTCCTCTTAAACACAAGACAAAATAATTTAAGCTGGTTTAAATTATCATATTTGCTTAAAGTGTTACTTACAAATTAGGATACAAGATGCACCCCCGTAAACATGCCCAAGTCTTTAGAGGTGTAGCCCCTTAGTTTCAGAAGGTTAACGAGTCTCACACCTAGACGGATACCTGTACCCAACACTGATACCCAAGTCCAGTGACATTGCTTAAAAGTGCAACACCTTTCTTCAGACGAAGTGGTGCAAACCCATAGTATCAACTACCAATTACAGAGTGCCATCATATAAAATACTTGACTCCAGCAAAATATGGTAGACATTGCAGATAGAAAGCTAGTATTTGGAAAAAGTAGATTTATGATATTTCAAATTGAGTGCTAAGAGTTTCTTTATTTTCAGGTGCAACTCAAGAGATAACAAGGAAACTAAAAAAATAAACCCGAGACTCTGCAGTTGGGTATCAGCCATGAAATAGCAACTTTTTGGATACTTTCCAAATACCCAATCTGAGACTAAAGCCAGATGGCTTACTGATTATCAGAACCATAATGAAACATATAAAATGATGGGCTTGATAAAAGAAACAAAGAATGACAAAAGTAGAAACTATAAATTCAAATTTCTCAACGAAATCACATACAGAGAGCCGAGTGGTGTTTGATGATACTAAACTAAATTCAGAAGGGGAAAGCATCACATCATCCCCTGACATCCTATAGAAACCCTACCAAATCCAAAATTTATTCATATGACTCATTTGGTAATACAAGTGACAATTCACAAAAGCATCAAAGCTTGAAAAATGTGCAAAACTATTAATATTGCAGTTCATAGAAAATAACAGGATTAATGAAATACAAGTTTTTGCATGGTTTCAAATATGCGCTAAAGCTTTCTCATTTCACATACTTTCATTAGCACAAAATACAAATCAGAGACAGATGAAGAGAACAGACCTTGAAGCACAGACTCAACTGCAGCATTTGGGATTAGTAATCCAACAATCCGCTGATTGTCAGTGGTAGTTTCAATCCGGACAACTCTGATCCGTTTATGGCTTTGCCGGGCCTGCAGAGAAATGTAATGGGGCTTCACTCACTGGATATCTCTTTCCTCTTTAATCACATGTTTAAAAAAGGAACAGAAAAATGAAGGGCCACATTTTTGCTTAAATTTAGAGTCACAAGCAGCTTATTGCTTCAGAAGATGTATACACGCTCTATGAGCCTACCCAAAACACAGAGAGAGAGAGAGAGAGAGGGAGGAGAAGCACTCAGCCAAAGAAACAGAGAATTAGGCAACTGACAATCTAAATTAAAAAGCATAGATGCTAACAAATTCAAACAGAATAATGCATGCAGCTCAGAACCGAAAACAATGAAAATGAGAATTCCTTTCCTGGGCCCCTAACTCTATCTTAGTGCTAGTAATTACAGGAAGAAAAAAATGTGAAGGATCAAGGGGAGACTAGGATGAGCTCTTGTGTAACTAGTCTGCAATACTCAGAAGCTTTCATCAACTATAACTAGGCTGCAAACTAATCGACGCTCAGTCAAAGCTCGACTCAAGCTCGAACTGGCTTGCCGAGCCAATCAAGTCGAGCTGAGTACGGAGATATTCAGCTCTTTAGCTCGTCGAGCCAGCTTGAATTGATATATTTTTAATATTCTTTATTATTAGTAGTGAACTTACATATATATCCCCAATATTTTTATCGTTTCAAAAGGTCAATCGTCTATTTTATGCACATTAAAAAACATGAAAATCATTATTTTTTATTTTTATTTGAGCTCAATTAGGCTTGAACTTGAGCTTGACTAGGCTTGAATTTGAGTTCGAGCTCGAGTTCTACATTGAGAGCTTTTCAAGTTTGAACTCGAGTTCAAGCTTGGTGGAATTCAGTCAAGCTCGGCTTGATTAAGCCAAAGGTCAACTCGACTCAACTCAACTCAGCTCATTTGCAGCCCTAAATTTAACATGCCCTGAAAATCATGAAAAAGAATACCTGCTTGGAGAGAGCCTTCTCAATAGTTCCCCAGATGGGAAGAATAAGGCCACCCAACACATTTACCTCCTGCAATCTTCTGCCCACTGTACAGAAGCTCCCAAGCTTACAATTGGGTCCATGCATACACTGAACAGAAAAGTTGCAGAGACTCATATTAGAACTGTAACCAGTATATGTGCACACAAGACACGCATTACATAAAACAAGTACATAATACATATGCATATACACATTATGTGCTAGTGTAAAAAGATTTTTACATTCATAGAGTAGGAAAGATTAATCAAACATATATGTTTACAAATATATTAAAGAACAACATGAGAAGTCATATTTGGAGCAGCAAATCATGCAACTATTATGAACCACACCCTTAATGATCATAAGAAGAACTTGAAGTATATGAACCAAAAAATCACATGTAGGCTTTCCAAATACTTATGCATATTAAAAGTAGGATCTTCTTCTTCTGAAAGACTCACCAGATTACTAAAAGAAGCTGAAGTCCTATCCTTTAAGATGCTGCATGGCACAGCTTGAAAGTTGCCATTTCGGAATTAACGTTCACAGGGTACTGTAGCAGTGTGCTGCTTTAGTTATTCCAGGACTGTTTTACCAGTTCCTTGGTTATTCAATTACTTAAATGATTATTTCCTTTCCATATTTGACTCAAGATCCTAAACTTACTTGCATTCCTATTATATTTGTTTATTGGAGAGCAAGAAATTACTAGTCTAGAATGAGGATTGGGCATTAAACATCTAGCCTTCTGGCAAATGAAATCCTCTTCTTTGACTTCATCTCATCGAACTTCAGCGCTGGTGCTAATTAGCCCCCAAATCAAGGTTTCTATTGGTTTTCCCTGAAAACCTAGACTTCGTTCATGAATTGAAGTACCCCCTTTTCACAGCTTTTGGTATCAAAGTGATCCACAGATTGTTAAACTTACATGCAGCATGGGTTAAGAGAGATAGAAGGACGTCTTGAGTGGATATCCAAACAGTTGGATATGCTCATGCATTTAGAAGCGAGGGAACTTCAGGATAAGAAGCAATTCAGCTATAACATATGAGAAACACTTGAAGGTAGTCTGAAAGTGAATTATGAGTCTACCAGTGATAAGTAATCACGAATTATCCACCAATCTATGATGTTTAACCGCATGATGGTCCAAGTGTTAGATCTGGAGATTCTACAACAATCATCAAAGCCTCTACATAAAAATCTTCACCAAGTCTATGACACAAGACCAAAGACAGCTCAACCAGTTGGATCTAAAAATGTTCTACGGTTCCAGATACAAAGCTAGACTATCACAATCCAAAAACAAGTTTGTCCTTCTGAACATTCATTCACTTCAAAATTATTTTCAATTTCCACTATTAGAAGTGAATAGATGTCTTCCTCACCAGTCAGTGCTTTTTGGCTGATAAAAATTTGAGTTATGGAGATTGTAACGATTTGAAATGGAGAAACTTCATGGAGGATACAAAAGTTCAACATTCAAACACGTCGATTTTACTCATTTCAAGGAGCTGTATGGTGTCCTTTGATGTTGACAGAGCATCCCAAGAAATACTTTTACCGCTTGGTTCAGCACTTCAAAGATACAATGAGTGAGTTTGGAACAACTCCAGTACTTCGCTACTGGCAAATTTTAAAGTAGAAGAAGGCATGAAAAAGCCTGTCAGGGCATCCTTTTGATCATGGAAAGATCATGGAAAGCATACAAAACTCAGGGACAAGTTTTCCTCCAACCAGAGGAGAATTGATGCAGCATTTACGAATTAAAAGTTTCTATTCCCAAGTTTCTATATACCAGGTTCTGTTGTAGAGTGGCCTTTAGTGCTATAGGACTTAAATGATTATTTCCTTTCCTTGATTTAGGATCTTAGATTTATTTAGTTTCCTTTTATGGTGATTCGTGGAGAGCAAGAATTCCAATCAGTCCATATTGGGGATGGACAACCAGAGATCTAGCTTTCTTTTGTATTTTAATGAAATTATCTCCCATGAGTTGATCTCGTAGAACTTTAGATTTGGAGAAAAGTTTAATTTTTCATTCTAATTACTTTATTATTATTGCTATTCCCCAATGGGTCAGGTATTATGTAAACCCAACTAAGATTCATCATGTTTGTTTTGGGTTTTGCGTCCAAATTTTCAAACCCAAACCCTACTTAGATCCAGACCCTGTGAAAGAGATATGGGTCTAGGTATGGTCTGATTTTCCATGATTCAGATCCAAACCCAAATCCAAGTCCTACCCAAACCCATACAAATAAAAATGTTGAGCATGTGCAAGTTTAAATGTCAAATACAAATTAAAATTTTCAAGCAAATAGAATTACTTGATAATATTTCATGTTGTTCGTTCTTTATTACACCCAACATTCTTGATTTTTTTTTGGTTATTTGAAATTAGTAATTAGATTGTATTTTTGTTATCTTTGAATTCCATATGTTTTTATTGTTTTTTAACTTAATATTCAAAAAATTCACGTGGATGCCCATTGGGGTACCTAGACTCGGGAGGCTGGATCTAGATTTTATTTTTCCAAACCCATAAGGGTCTGGATCTGGGCCGATCCATTGACATGCATATGTATCACTTTTGAGTCACCGTTTCTGCAAGAAGCTTATCATCAATTTCAAGCGGACAAGTTTAGATCATATTGGGTGAGTAGGCATTGCTCCGTTGTCGAATTGATTTTACTTACTTGACTTCTAGCTACAAACTCTTCAGTTGTCACAGTGAAGTAATCCCAATCAACCAATACGGCGTAAATATCTACTTGTGAAAATACATGAGTTCCTCAAAAAAGAGGTAATTTTGGAAATTTACTGATTGTTACTAAGTGTGGTTCCTAGCACAGATGCACAGATGTACTCTTAGTGCTAGATATGGTCCATCCCAAATTCAACAATCAGAAGCAACTCCAATCTATTACTTACACACACAACCATCTAACAAGCAAAGGACTTCTGACAGTTATCAAATAATGGATGTTCTCCTTCATGTACTGGTCATATCACTTATACCAATATCACCAAATCCTTTAATCAAACAAGAAAACAATTAACAGATGACCAGCATGATAACTGTTCTGAAGACAAATATACAGTAACAAGGTCGGAATTTGATTACCTGCTTGGATGAAACATCATATTCATCTTCCCAACCAGTACAAGCCTTCTCTGATGAAGAAATCTTCCGGTACTTATCCTTTAACTCTGTAAGTGGCATCTCCCTGGAAGATGAAAGAACCAACAAGAGAGGGAGCAAGAAGAGAGAAGAGATATGCAGCTGATAATAAGAAATGTATATTGATCTGGAAAGTTACCGAAGAGAAAATTATTATTGTTACCTTAATGCCTCCCCAACAGCAGGACGGAAGATTTTATACAAACCAGAGGCAGAACTGAAACACAATAACAAGGCCATCAAATTGAGTTTCACTATGTCATTTTGATGGAGGATGCAAGTAAAGAAAAAATAAAGCCTTAATAAATAACCATAATCAGATTCTGAATAAATAAAAGGGCACCAAGGACTACAACTGCAAAGTGCTACATCGAAAAAAAATCAGACAAAACAAAGGCCTGGCCTTTTCCTAATCACACATTAAGTTCCCCCTGGGTTGAAGTGATCCCACGTGTATGCAACTCAAATAAATGGAGCAATCTAGCGGGCACACCTGATGGTAACTACCACAAAAAATTGTAACTTGTCCAGAAGCTTTAGTTATAAAAAAATTTCATCTACTTAACACCAAATATAGCTGCAATCAAGCTGATCTGAGCACTCTTTTAATGATTTTGACAATTTTGTTCGCTCGATTTGAATCTGCCTTGGGCTCAATTATGAACCTGTCAAATTTGTGTTACATTCATAAGGTGAAGTTCAAATTTTAACTATATCTACCAAGCTAGGGGAAGGCTTGAAAGTTTCTAGCTCTTTTCCTTTCTTGGATGTCTACATTGTAAAGGACACGCACTTACAAACCCAAACTTTCGTCTGTAAGCTACATTAACCCAAAACCGGTTAAGGAAATATGTGACAACTTGATTCAGAAAATGATGGACCACAATTATCAACCAAAAGTTAAGGAAATCCATAACTTCATAACAATGGGTCAAGGCGTACCCTTCCAATGCTAATAGAAAGTGTCGTCTTCCCAACCACTCCCTCTTAGATTCATAAAATCCATTGTTAGTCAGACCACATCCATCCTGTTGTCTCTCTTCCAGCAGTTTAGACGCAGACTGCAGTAAGACAAAATAAGACAATAAAACAAAATTCAAATTGTATTTCAGAGAAGTATGCAGTATAAAATGGCTTCTGTATAAAAGTACTACCTCCCATGTGATCCCACGATCTAATGTAAAAGTAAACAATATAGTAGACGCCCCCGACATACTGTCAACATGAACAGTCTGCAAGATTATGGATGTTAAGACGTGGTTAACGTTAAGCAATAATACTAGTAGGAGGAGGATAACCTTTGGATGCCCTTGTAACTCAACAGCATTGGCTTTCATATCAACAATGCCAGAGTCCAAATGTCCCTCAACACGTGCATTCTGAACGAGAAGATCAAGGATGCTAGCAAATAACTCAAACAGCCTGTACCCGCATCAAATTTACACCATTATAACAGCACATAAGGACATCGTGTTCCCAACTTGACCAGTCAACTACAAACCTATTTTGGATCTCAGGTGGAAGGCCTAAAAGGCGGTTGAGGAAGCGCCCAACATCATGCATATCCGAATCAACTATACGCCCAGAAATCTTTGCGCCATCCTTTCCATTACCTTAAAGCAAATGCAAGATATAACACTTCAAAAGGTTCTCACTGCCTACCTTACAAATTTCTCATATTGATTAACCAAATAACTTAATAATTCAAAGAAAAAGGATAGAATAAGGTAGTGGGGTAGACCAAAGATGAAAGAAACTCCTAGACTCAGACAACAGTTTGCTTAAACATTATAATTGATTTCTCTGCCGGAAAAAAAATGCACACAAACACAGAAAAAATTTCCATAAGAGGATTCTTAACAGGGAAAAAGAGGAATATTAACAGTCTCAGATGCCGTAGTTCCTAACAAATGTCACCACATCATAGCCTGAGGAATTAGTTGCCAACTTTTGCTCCATTACAACTTCTGGTAGTAAAAGAAAAGCTTTCCTGCAATTTTCCCCCATTGGACGGTAAAGTGCTTTCCAGGATTGCTTATGTTCTCCATTTCGTTCCATATTTTCATCAGTGGTAAATGATAATAGATACTTGGCAAATAAGCCACCTATAGACTCTTTCCATATCACACTTTCTTCAAATCATACTCTCTGTCTAACATGAAATCTCATACAAAACTGTGAATTTTTGCCACATTAAGTTGTCTTCTTCTATATCAGCGTCAGAAAACCTCCACAATATTGCTCATCCTAGATGTATTGGTATAGTTTCAAATCAGGCATGCATCCTCCAAAATCACGTAGTTCTATAACCTAATGATTGCTCCTTTCCTCAAGTCAGCTGCAGTAGCAATAACCACATAAATCTATGGAAAATGATCTCTAAAGGTTTTTTTCCATATAAAAAATTCCCCAAACCTTTTCCCAGTAAACTGCCAAGCTTGTACACTCTGCAACTCTAAGTTTCCAAATCATCCTTCACTTCCCTACACATCGCCATACCTTAAATAAATCAGCTGTTTTTGCTCCCCAAATACCACATTTTGAATCCATACCTTCTCCCTGCACATCTCCAAATACAGTGTTTTAAGAAAAACACACAGTAACAACCACCTCCCTTCCCTGAAATGACCTCATGGAACACCCTTGCTTTCCTGATACTCTCAATTATTAATAGGAGATTCAACCCTTATACAATTAACCAGATAGCACTTCTATCCAACCCATTCCTGTAAGAATCTAGATTAAAGTCGCGTAGCTTTTGCCTGCTAATTGCAGGAAGACAGAATTTTTTTTCTTTTGTTTATTATGAAATAAAAAAGTTTCTTCCCAGATGAAAGCAGAGCAGACAAGCAGCATACTATTGGTCTTCCCATGAAATCCAACCAACAAAGAAACCTCAAACCTTCAAGGATCGGTTTTTTAACCAGGTATGGAATATATCATCAAAACCTAACATGACAACATGAACCACAACAGAGGGGTGTCTGGTTTACCAATTCATTTTCATCCCACTTAAGGAATGGAAACTCACTTGCTACTTGTGCATAGACAGAAAAACAAACAAGACAAAGGAGAAGACCTGTTTGTTATGGTAGAAGTAGGTGAGAGTTTCATGCTTATTTGCAACCAATTTGACAGGGCTATAGGGCTGAAATCTTACCAAGAACTGAGTCTCTTATTATTCCAACAGAAACAAGAGCAGCTTTCCCCTGCAAAACAAAATCTTGGATTGCATCTGGTTTTCCAGACGAGCATCCAGGTGGTACAACTGGCAAAGAGTCCTGAAAAGCAGAAAAAAAATTCAATAGTTACTTGAAATTTCCAACTACCCCAAAATAAGTACGATACTATGAAAAAAACTACAAAAAACCTGCTCCATGATTCCTCTGTACAGCATCATCAGAGCTCTCTTTCCATATGCACTATCATAATTATAAGCACTTAGAGTTGGGCCAGCCCTATGAATTTTCAGCAGCATCAGTGCTAATAGTTTGATAGAAACATGTATCCAACATATTAGTTTCTTAGCCTATTCAACATCCGTTAAGGACAAAACAAGAGTTACCTGCGGTCTCCCTGTGTAAGTGCTCCAAGAGATTCCAGTCTCTTGGCAACAATGGATGCAAACCTCCGTTCACCACCAAGATTCGTAAACAGTAGCCTGAAAGGTAAAAGGGGAAGTGGCTACCAGATAGTTCTTGTACGTGAAAGGAAACCAATTTGAAAGGGAAGTGGAAAAGAATGAAGACTTGAAAGCACAAAAAGAATTAGAGGCCATGTTAAACCATGCATCATACACCACATTGGCCACGCCATTGCGGTATATCAAACTGGTGCAGTCATTCACCACGTTGTTTGGTGCTGTTGAGCAATGCACTATGCACATTTAAGCAAACTGTGTAGCTATACGGAGTGCTATCATACTGCGAGTTAGATTTAGAATCTGACATGTACCTATACTCAGGTGCAGAAGCTTGATTTGATCGGTGAGTCCTGCCAAACTGTTGAATTGCACGGTCAGCACTCCATGGTAGTTCCAAAGTTAAATGGACCCTTCGTTTCTGTTGGAAAAAAGACCAACAGGCTTGTACACATGAAGACAAAAGAACAAGCAAAATTCAACTGAAGATAATGAACCATGACGTGGTTCAGTGATAGCAGAATTCTAATACCGGAAAATGTCCACAGAATCAATGAAAACTTGAAAATGAACCTGATTTAGGGCCCTTCTATCTGCTTGCAAAGAAACACCAGCTGACCCAGCTTCTGAAATAATAGCTACCAACTTTTTCCCATTCATAAACAGTTGCTTCTCATGCATATTAACCATTTCCATTGTGACATCCTTACTGAAGTAATATAAATTCACATAGAACCAATTCAGCAACCACAAGATGAAAAGCACTGAAAAGCAAAACCAAATCAATACTGACGTGTTTCGAGCCTGATAAGTAACACCCTTTCCACCAGAGGCCCTAATAAGCATGCCACGCCTTCCTGTAATTTCGGCAACTTTATCAGGGCCACCAAGCTGCATAAGAATTAGAGGTCACAGGAAGAACTGAAGGACAAGATGAAGAGAAAATTAACCCAAAAAAGGAAAAGGACAGAAGATAAGAGTGGATGAACTCATGGTGTTGGTTATACCAATGGGAATTAGCATCTTTTATCTAACCTGATCAATAATATCATCCAATGGATTATTTGGAAGATCCAAAGAACGAATTAATTCCAATATCTTTGTTCTACGCTCCACAGCTCCCTCATACCTGAAATCATTTTTATCAGCACGTTGAAAAACCTATAATATCGGGAAATAAAAAAATACAAGATATTGTTTACATGCAAGGGAAACAAAGAGAAAATGGATATTTGGAGTCATTTCACAAACATGAAAACCTTTTCAGCAGTTCTGCAAGATAGGCGTGTCTTGCTTGGAGATATTCCTCTGTTTTTTCCTTGCATGAATGACAAGACCAATCACTGGAAACTGTTTCCATAACAGGTGGAACTAAGCAGGCAGGATGCACAAGCTGGCCACAACAGGAACACTGTAGCAACTTCTTCCTTTCCTACAACAAAAATGAGGATGGCTATGTAGCATAAGAAGAGACATTATTGAGATAAAGAAGAGAATGAATGAATGTACACCTCTTCTGAATTGCAGATATCACAGATCTGAAACTCATCATCAGATTCAGTAGATTCTTCTTCAGAGTCAACTACAATAGTAATCATGAATCAGTCATACGAAATATAGCGTATGAACAATAAAGTAAGCACAATGCATAGAATATGAAATATGTAACATTTTAATTAGCTTACTTTCTGATTCTTCGCTTTCAGCATCACTTGCAGATTGCCACTTAGCAACTTTCCTTACTCTCCCTCTGAAAGAAACTCCAGGAGTTGCTGAATGCCTCTTCCTTTGGAGCTCCTTCACACTTTCCTCTAACATCATTAAAAGTCAATCGCATAGGCAACAAAAGGTGCAAAATATTCCAATAACCTATTGAAGCAAGCAACATTTTGTAAAGATCTGATAAACAATAGCCGTACAGAAATACTATTCATACCTGGGAGTGGTTCAGGCTTTTCAGGTAATGGATAATTTTCTTCCACAAATTTTAGCAACAACTCTCGAGGCCCAGAAATAAAATCATCAAGTTCAAGACCCTGTATAAGCACATATTTGAACAATGGGAAAATCGTGAACATGGTCAGGCTAATTGTAAATTGCATTGAAGAAATGACGCACATATTTTGAAACGGCTTCTTCAGTTCGAGCCTCTCCAGTACTCTGCAGGCCTATGACCACACACTTCTTCTCTGCTAATGCTTGCTTAGCTAGTCTTACCACCGCAGGCACCTTAGCTGACATACACACGTGCCTAAAGAAACGCTATGACAATGCAGAAACTTTCCTTCAACAAAAGTCCACAAGTGAAACTAATCTTTATGAACTATATTATTAGCCAAAATTCAAGATACTCAGTACCTGATGGTTTGCCCAATATAATCTCCATAATTGACTTGAGTTGGGCTTCTCAGTAGTCAGAAAGGCACTAGCTGACATCAATTCCACTCTCAGCTCTGCCCAGAACTCAGCCGCTTTCTTATACATTTCCTAGGAAAGTGACAAGTGAGAAAACCAAGGTCATGCAAAGCCTAGTCAAAGAACAAAAAGACCTTCTTCATACAAAGAAAAGCTATTTTCAGTTGGTGATGTTTGTTCACACAGATCACGAAATGTCCATTGGTCGTTAAAAATTATCCATACTAATCTGCACATGTCAAAAGCATGGTCACATAATTGGGTAAAGAAGCAGCAACTATGACTGAAATAATCAGTGTTTTTCATGAATTTCTTCCAACAACAATAAGGGTAACATAGAAGGAAAGTATAAGCTTTAAAGAGATTCCAAAGACATTTCAAAAATTGTTAATTTGTATCGTCCCATACATATAATATCAGTTGAACTGGCACTTTTTGTAATTAGCAGATGTAATTGCACTCCATTTAGTGGATCAGGTGGAACTTCCAGTGAATTTACATATGGAATAAAATTGTCCCTCCAAATACACATCTATACAAGTCTTGCCTCCTCAAGTCCAAGTGTCTGTGAAAAGAAAGGCCAGATCCAAGTTGTTCAAGAATTTCAAGTGCCCTGTCATCTTAAAGGCCGGTGACAATAATTGGTCTTCTATGTGGTTTAATAACAGTGATAGACAATAGACCTTTATATAGTATCATTAAGCATCTGGCAACAGAATAATCCTAGTCTCAGTCAAGCTCCAGTGTTAAGACACCAGAAAAACTCCCCATGCATCAAGGACAGACTGAATAGTAGGTATGACAAGCAATAAATGTGACCTTCCCGTTGAGCAAAATATAGCTACCAAGGAAATGAAATTACCAGCTAAACTGTTCAGTAGAGATAATCATATAATTTACTTTCAATATTTAGCAGCAAAGGCATAGGGTTACCATTCTGATATCAAGATGGCAAAATAGTACTACTAAGCAACATTAACATGTAGGATGTAAACGAAGGGCTCTAATTCTGCTGAAAAATGCACAGTACCATCATTTTCGCCTCTAATGGTACTTCAACAACTTCAATCTCGGCACCGTTGTAGCTCAGTGTACGACAAACATACATACCCCTAGAAAGTTTACAACAAGGAATCAAATCCCCTCGTAGTTTGAAATGTAAGTCATCCACAAGAAAATTTGAAGTCCAAACCTTGCTTTCATGTCCATTGCAACAAGCTCAAGTGCCCCAACTCCCCCTTTCTCCATAGCACCTGAACAGAAACCAACTGAAACTTCAGCAAATATTACACATGCATGAAGGATTGTACATTATTAGCACGAGCTTTTTCCTATATTAAAAAATTTCTCTAATAGCTGATATCTAAATTATGGCCTTTCTCATCCCTTGGAAAGTGACTAATTTACGTGCTTCCAATTTCACAAATCTTCCAATATGAAATACAGAGACATCGCAAATGATCCCTCAAAACTTCAAGGATGCAGTCTAGAATCAATCGGTAAATGTGAAGGGTTAATCTTTACCACCATATAATGTGATGTAGACAGACGACAACTTAACATTTATAAGCTAAATAAACGACAAAACTTAGAGAAGGGATCCGGTTTTGATGACTCCAATGGATGATTTGACGAACTCCAATCAAAAATCGCACCTAGAAAATCACGGAAGCTAAGAAAAGAAGTTCCAGCTCCCCAAAGACCCAAGCGAACCATATAGCCCATATTGCGAGGTTCTGAAGCACCGGTTGCTGAACAATAAATGACACGAGCTTGAAGAAGCCGAGCCTGTAATATATGGTTAAGACAACAAATTAGAAGTCAATTTAGCTCAAGTAGTGGCTCGTTAGAGAATCTTTACACTGACAATGTATTTAAAAAAATTATCTAATAATTTTTGTGCCCGAGGTGCACAAATTATTGTCTGCGGCAGGAAACATTCATGACTACACGTGGGTGATAATACATCTGAATTAGCGAGAGCAAATTCTCTAAAATGCAGATAACCAGGAGATGAAGCATTGTAGACATGCAATCTTAATATCTCATGAGATGCAAAAGAGAAGACAAACATAAAAGTAGTCCCACTGGTTCTCTTTGTTAGATCTTTCAATTCCCCTTTGGATGGCAACCCAGAGAAAAAATAACTTTCATATTTGAAATCACAATGATAAAGTACAAATTACTTCACTACATTAATAGAAATCAAGGTTGCATTGCTAGATTTCAGTCTTTAGTAATTGTAAACCTGGAGCCAATAAAAAATGGATTTAAAAACAAAAATCAAATCTCATATACTGGGAATAGGGGATCAACATGATCATGATTAAAGAAACAGAAAAATAATTTAAAGCATCACAACTTCTCCTTTTTAAGTCCATTATAAACAATTCAGCACCACTTCTCCAACACAAAATCAATTAGCGGAAGTTTGAGAAACCTACTTGCACATCAAAGATTCTGTTAGATTATTTTAACACCAGTACTCCTGGAATGCTCGATGTGCATACAATTATCATCTTAATCAACATGAAGACAGCAGCTGTTTTAAGTTCAATAAGTGAAACCCAAATTGGAAGTGAGAATTGAGAGCAAAGAATCAACTATGGTGCATAGTCTGTTTTGTTTTCCAGGAAGGTGAAATCGAAATGGAAATGAGATGCAAGATGGAAAGTGATGTATTGAAGTACACCTGATTAGGAGGTTATTGAATAGTGGAAGCCTGGCTATGGAAAGAGTATAGTGGAGGCAGTTATGTAGGGTTGGGAAGTTTGGCAAATAAGATGTGGATGTATCATGCTGAATCTTGAAATGGTATATTTGGAATAATAAATAATGACACAATTTTTTAACACCAAAACCATGGCTCATGCATTATATGTAGAGAGAGATTTTTTCCCTTCTTCTGGATGGTACTCGAAAGACTGCACGTAGCAAAAGAAACAACATGCAACCAAATTTGGATCCTTTTTAGTTTAAATTGAATGGAGCCTGGCAGCATTCAACACCCCCATTGGCATTTAAACCAATACTAAAGTCAGCTAGTAAACTAATGTTTCCCTCCTCCACACATCACATAAATGATTATCTCTAGCTCCTTTTACACCTATTACCGTTTGTGTTCTAGTATTCCATCTAGTCCACTTACTATTAGAAGCATTGTCCATCTTTTCTGCTAAGGAACCAATTTCAAATATGACCTTGAGTAAAGCATATAATATGTAGATAAACTGATTCAAAGAGAAAAGAGGGAACAAAAAACATATAAAATAATTCTTTAAGTTGTTACTTGAACTTTCAATGAAAATCTACTACAGTTTGTTATGACTTCGCAAGACCCAAAAAGTATAATGTGGCAAGCGTCACTTCTCAAACAAGAACATCAACATAGAAATTTTGTAACTTGCCTCGCACCTTAAAACCAGCACCTCCGTATTCATAAATTTGAAACCCCTAAGCTCAGTCTTCTTACTAAAATTTCTTATAATTCGAAATGCTGGTGAAAATATCTTCTAATCTAAAGTATTTAACTCAATGCAACTTGTTAAGAGAACTTTCACACAATATGAAAGTTTGCGAGTGTCAGCTTCTAATCATGAATGCAAATCAGTTAGATAAGGCTTCTAAGATGCTCAACCTGAAACTGCTGCTTCAGTTCATTGTTGATTTGACCTAATTTATCAGTTCCAAACCTCACCTTCAACATTAGCTATCATCAGTAGCATTTAACAACCATGCTCTTAGCAACTGCACCCAGCAATCAGTCATCTTCAAACCTAACTGAAGTAACCTCTTCGCAATTCAGGACTTAAAGTGCAATGGCTTTAACTACCTCCATGTATCTGCAGAAGTTGTTTCAACTTTTCTACTTACAGCTGATAGTAGCTAACCCATGTGGCTTCAGAACAAGTGAGGAGAAACAATTATACGCCAAAAATAACAATATAATAAGTGTAAAATATAGAAAAGCGCCCTGCAATTAAGCAAACCTACAGAAAAGCCCCCTAGAGTTTCAAAACATACACTCCGGTACCTCGTGGTCTGAACTAATTTAAAAAAGCTACAGAAATCATCTAAATTAACGGGTTTGAAATACACACGCCTCTTTTGCGAGTATTTGTACAGAAAAAGCCCCCTATGGTTATAAATCATACAATCTGGTACCTCATGGTTTGAACTAAAGTGAAAAATCAACAAAAATCATTTAAATTAACGAGTTTAAGGGTGCTTTACTGAGAAACATAGGCTCCATTTGGATTAGCTTTTTTTGGGGGTGTTTTTTTAAAAATTTTACTGTAGCAGACTTTTTAGAGTATATTTTGGAATATTTAAGAGTAGTAGAGTTTTTAGAATATATTTGGGATATTTTTTAAACATTAAAAAAAATTAAGACTACTTTTTAGAGCACCTTTTAGAATACTTATTAAAAATTTTTAGATATTTTGTCCTCGGACTTGACAATGGCAATTGACAATGACACGAAGCACTAGCTGGTGATAGAAATGGGCGTACAGTACAACTCCAGAAATTCACGGCTGTGGTCTACACTGGGCCCGCCACCGTTCTGGTCCAACGCCAAACAGAGGTTAACCACGCCTCCCTTCTTTCTTCTTTTTTGTTTTGTCCGATTTCTTCTAATACTACTTACTACCATTCTTGTTCACGGTTCCGTTTCTTGCCGGTGACCCTACCCACTCTACAGCTACCACCATGTATTTCCTATGGCTCAGTTTTGAGTCCTTTGACACCTGCCCATATTATTTATTTATTTATAATAATAGAAAAAAAAAAAAAAGACACCGTCAATTCAACTGCTCCCCTTCTCTGATCACACCGGCCACCACCAGAGCAGGAAGGAAGGGGGTTGGGGAAGGGAGGGGGGCAAGGGAGGAGGGAGGAGGAGAGAGTACGGAGGGGCTACGGTGGATAGTGATAAAAAAAATTAATAAATTTTAAAATTACTTTAAAATATATTACAAAACAAAAAACACTACATGTATAATGAAAAGTTTTTGAGATACACTAATAATGTTGAAGTAGTATAATGTTTCAAAAACATCATTAAAATTTAAAAGTACCTAATCCATACTACTTCGAAAGTTTTGGTAAACACGCTAAAATACTACTAGGTTTGTTTGGATAGAGTATTATTTGGAATAATTACTGTAACACTTTTTATGATGTGATGTACGTGAAACAAAAAAATGATCGAGCATACAAAAGGGTTAGTTGAAAAATGTGTTTATAATATAAGTAAAATATTATTTAAAAAATTTTGATATTCAAACAAACCCAACTAGCTAGTAAATAATTTTTTTAATCAAACTTTTAGCTGATATACCTATTAAACACCTTAGAACTCATAAAATTCTCAAAAACAACCCAAAACTCCCAAATGCAACTCACCTTTTTTTTTATACACAAAATAAATAAATAAAAGCTCCTAAATAAACTCACCTTATCTCTATACAAAAAATGAATAAACAAAAATAAAATACCACCCTCATCTCTTCCTCCACCACAACCCCCACCTCTTGCCACCACCATTGTCCACCTTCCACTGCCATCCTCCCTTCCATCACCAGCCCTTCCTCTCCTTCTTCCTCCTCTCCCTTCTCCCTCCCCTCCCCTACACCCTGCTCCCTCTCCTCCCCTCATGGCCACTTACCCGCATCCTCTCTCCTTCCAGCAACCATAGCTAGTCACGGGAGAGAGGGAAAGGGGTGCCGAGAAGGGGTCACGACCAGATTGCCCGTTCCCCACAGCCTCTCCCCTCTCTCATGTGACAGATCTGGTCACGGGAAGGAGGTAAGGAGATGTGGAAAGGGGGCCGCAACGAGAGGGGGTGGGGGTGCAGGGGAGGGAAAGGAGGAAGAGGAGGGGGAAGAGAGAGAAGGAAAAGGGAAAGGAATGGGGGTTGTGATGGAGGGGAGGGTGGCAGCAGAAGGTGGAGAATGGTGGTGGCAGCAATAGGTAACCATAGGGACCTTTTCTGTAGGTTGGCCTAACCTCAAGGTTTAATGTAGGTTTGCTTAAGCATGATAGTTGTTAGAAGGTCTGTTTTTGCTTATATATATTAGGGTAATTGTGTCATTTCATCCACCTCCATTAGTTTTGACGATTTCCGTTGCCGTTTCGGTAAGGAGATGTGGAAAGGGGGCAGCAATGAGAGAGGGTGGGGGTGCAGGAGAGGGAAAGGAGGAAGAGGAGAGGGAAGAGAGAGAAGGAAAAAGGAAAGGAATAGGGGTTGTGATGGAGGGGAGCGTGGCAGCAGAAGGTGGAGAATGGTGGTGGCAGCAATAGGTAACCATAGGGACCTTTTCTGTAGGTTGGCCTAACCTCAAGGGGTTTTTCTGTAGGTTTGCTTAAGCAGGATAGTTGTTAGAAGGTCTTTTTTTGCTTATACACATTAGGGTAATTGTGTCATTTTGTCCACCTCCATTAGTTTTGACGATTTCCGTTGCTGTTTCAAATTAGTTCAAACCACAAGGGCTGGAACATATGGTTGGCTTTTCCATAGCACAGCTTAATCACGGGAATTTTCCGTATTTACCCTAATAATAATAAACAGCTTTCAAGCAGCTTTCTGTAGGTTTGCTTAAGCAGGATAGTTGTTAGAAGGTCTTTTTTTGCTTATACATATTAGGGTAATTGTGTCATTTTGTCCACCTCCATTAGTTTTGACGATTTCCGTTGCCCTTTCAAATTAGTTCAAACCACAAGGGGCTGGAACATATGGTTGGCTTTTCCATAGCACAGCTTAATCACAGGGGAATTTTCCGTATTTACCCTAATAATAATAAACAGCTTTCAAACAAGCGAAACCTAAAACTGGGAACAAGGATAGGCAGCGAATGTTATGCATTATATACTGCAAAGATGAGAAATCTAAAACTTCAAAGTAGCTCAATTAAAAGCAGCTGGCAGAAATTGCATGTAGGTACACGGAAGAACACTCCTTATAACATCTTCTGCTTTTAAACAAGAAGAACTGAACCACCAGAAGCAGACAAGACGGGTGCGGGATATTTGGGTGGATATGAATGTGTTTTTTGCAAGCATTGTGAACATGTGTGACAGACTGCGCCACAGAGAAATACAGCTTGCAGTGCCGGAATTTCCTTTTTGACCAAGACATAGGACAATATAATTACAAAGCCAATATCTACAGTATATAGAGTTTGATTATAAAAGGTTAGCACATAAACCATTGCAAGAAATACATGATTTCAGTCACTCAGTTTCAAGGATAAACCTGAATCTCGAGAACAGCCTCCCCCGTGCGTGTTGGCTGCCCTCCTGCTTCAGGGACCAAATTTTTTGCTTTGTGACACTGCAATAAGGTGGTTAAACCAGATAGCATAAGACAAACCGGACATGACATTTTTATCTTGCATGATTCACAACAACTGCCCCACATTTATGCCCTGAATATGCAACAATTGTACACTAACTAAAACTAAGATAAGCATATAAACTTCAAACTGGAAACATTCATTTTTTTCTGCATTACATGGAATGCTTTGTACCTCATCAAAAATAATCAGACCATCATAGTCTGGTCCACACCATTGTACAAGCTGCTGCAAACGAGTACGACCTTTTTCCGATGATGCAATGAGGCTGCTGTATGTCAAGAATATAACTCCTTCCCTAATGCCAACAGACTTTGAATCAAGCTTAGAGTAAGGCAGCTTGTTCAAGGCATGCACTACAAAAGTCAAATGAATGAAACTTAGCTTAGAAATACTTAAAATGTCAGCCAAAAACAGGGAAAAGGATCATCTTGAGACTTCTTCCTACTTATCAAGTACGGGACAACATCACAAAACCGATTAAGTTTGCAGGTCAATAAACTTAGTCTCCGAGCAGCATAGAAGAGCGATAAAAATCCGTTACAATTCAGATACATAAATTGTGCATTTATATAAATAGATAAATTTATATATACATACATTATAGGCCAGCAACTGCCTTAAAGCATGTTGATCAGGTAAGTGGTCCATGTTTTTGGAACATGTGAGATCTAGAAGGAAACCCTACTAAGCCAACTCGATGTGCTATCTTGATCGAGCGAATTGACCTTGGAAGCAAGACTGCATCAATGACTCTAGCAGCCTTGACATGCCCCATCCCAACTTAATGAACTTCTCTACCATTCAGTCCTCATGCAACAGATAGTAAAGCAGTGCCAGATACACTCGTAACTCCCATCATATGAAACGGGTTCACTTCTGGCAATACATGGTAGATGTGCAATAACTTTTCTATCCCCAAAAGCTAGTTCAGTCAATTCCAGGTAAAGGCCTGCATGTTCCCCAAGGGAAGAGGGCCATGAATATCTTAGAAAGGGGCACGAAAGGGGCGTGAAAATCATATGAAACGGGTTCACTTCTGGCAAGATATGGTAGATGTGCGATAGCTTTTTATTCCCCAAAAGCTAGTTCAGTCAATTCCAGGTAAAGGCCTGCATCTTCCCCAAGGGAAGAGGGGCATGAATATCTTAGAAAGGGGCACGAAATGGCCGCAGCCACCCTCACCCCCCCTCTCTCCTCCCCTTTCTCCCTTCTCTCACCACAGTCACACAGCCAACCCCTCCCTACTCCTTTCCCTTCCCCTCCTCCTCCTTCCCCCTCTTTCCCCCACCACCCCCTCCTCTCTCTTCCCCCTGCCGCCCCTCCTCCTCCCTCAGTCTGGTCGCTCGACAGGATCTGATCTGAGGGGGAGGGCGAGTGGGGGCAAGGGAAAAAGAGAGGAGGGGGTGGCGAAGGAAAAAGGGGAAGGAAGGGAGGGGGATAAGAGTAAGAGGTGGGGTGGCAGCAGGCGGAAATGGAAGGGGAAAGAAGCCAGTGGAAGTGGAGCTGGCAGATGGAGTGGAAATGATTAGGGAGGTGGTGGTGGAAGAGGGAACGGGGCGTGTGTTTTTGGGCATTTTGGGGTCACTTAATGTGTTTTAACAACTGTTGCTAAAATTTTAACAAAACTTAGTCTACTAAAAACAGGCAAAAAACACACCTACCAAGCACACCCTGAGAAACCACCACAGCTTTCTACTTAACAGAGTTCACAAACTGTGAATTAAAAATAAAAAAAAAAGGTCTATTTAAGTGTAATGTTTCTATAAGTTGCCTTTTACGGAAGGCATTAGACTAGTGTAGCACAAACTTTTAAAGTTACACAAGAGCATAAAGAGGAGGCAGATAAAATTAGTCATAAATCAGGACTACTGATACAACACCCTCAAAAAAAAAAATCTACATAAGTCCAGCTTTAAAGTAGAACCCCAATACTATTATCCGAGCAATCAAACAAAAATGAATATAGTATAATTCCAAACCATTACAGTAACTCAAGAACTGTAACCCATAAACAGCACTTCTGTGCCAGAATCAATTCTTTAAAAGTTGACATAAAAATTCAGCAGATGTTTTGTTTCCTATGATCAAATGGATCCCCTAACAAGAATTTCAAATTCTTTTTTTTCTTGGCATCTTTAATAAATAACATAAACTAAAGAAATTCAAATTCAAGCTTAATTCCTGCAAGCCGAATAAAGCACCGAAATCTATCGGAAGATGTTCCAGTATTTAAAAAAAAAAACTGCCTCTTCCAGAGGAATACACTGATAGATTAAATTCAGCCTTTTTTGACATCTATTGTGTCTTTTCGATGGGGCTTCTCCACATCAAACCATACACCCTCACAATCTGCAATGACCTAAAGTTGCATCAATGACAAAGCATCTCACTGCTAACAAATTTTCATTCAGAACTGAATTGTGTATCTTCAAAGATGCTCTCAACACTGGCAAACTGACCAAATGCATCTTTAGATTGACAACTACCCCCATTAAGCATCATACAAAGTGGTGGGGGAATGGCCTAAAGACAGAATTATATCTTCAAAATCCAGAGTTTCAGGTTATAACTAGCAGGATTATAACTAGCACATTCTTTGCTTCCAAAAAAAAAAAAAGAACTGATACTATGACAGTAACTTCCTACCTTCAACGCAGGATGCCCCCACATCGTCTAAGTCTCTCCTTGCATCGAATTTCAAGTCTGAACCAACAGAAATCCACCTGTATGCAATCATTTGAAACAGGGACTACACCGTGTGAGTTTCAACTATATGGCAGCATTGACTATCCACTGATGAGATTATAAAACAGGGAAAAAATGAACACAATCTACAGCACATTGAGGCATAATATGTGAAAGAATTGCTTAAAATAAAAGCTTACAGTGCCTTCCTTCTCTGGTGGTGCCAATTCTCCCATATTAACCCAGCTATTGTCCTCCCTTTGCCCACTCCAGCACCATCTCCAACAAAAAAGCCTGCCCTGGAGCCACTTGGAAGGTGCTGAAGATGTCTCTGTTATGAAATTACCATTATATGGCAGGTGACATTTAAATGAAATTTTGATTCCAAATGATGAACTGACAACAAACCTGACAGGCATAAACCAAAGTCTCAATCTGCAAACATGATAATGCTTTTGAGTTTTCCAGGTCATCCTTGATTGTGAGATCATAAGTTGGTTCAGGAGGCTGAACTGCAGATAATGATGATGTCTCCACCACAGGATCAGGATGGGGTGGACCAATTGACAGTTTTGGAGGCCGCTGCACAGAACTCAAAGTTGAAAGAATATTGAAAATCAAAATCTTAAGACTGTTCTTCCTAGTTTCCAAATACCAAAACATACAGGTGAATGCTAAAATGATTGAGGCACAAAGACGTATGAGAAGGATGAGAATAATTACATAGTCGGTGAATGTTTCCCCAACCATACCACCTTCATCTTCTTCTCGTTCCACCTCAATTGCAACCTGAAAGGTTTTTCCATGGACAGGAGATAACAAAGTATGAAAATCTTCAACTCTCCAATTTTAAAACATTCTCCATGCATAGAATATGCAGTGTCACTTCTATGGAAGTAAACGGTATCTCATTTTACGTTCCAATTAAACCCTAACCTAGGGCATAAACTAATGACCTTTTCTTTCATTCTTTCCAGTGGCCTATCAGCCATAATCTAGAATGACAACATTTAACAACAAGAGGGAATACATTTTTTCAAGTGCAAACTAGCTGGCAGATCATTCCCGAAGACCTTTTCATGCCAAATCTGCAACTACTTGGGTGGCATACTAAGCTAACAACTTTTTGATTTAAGCCACTGGTCTAAACTAACGAACCAAGTCGTTACTCTCATTGCATCCAAGTAATAGAAACTATTCAAATTGTCAAAAAGCATTCAACATGGGAAGCATTGGGAATTGCAAATACAACCACAACCGCCTTGCTAGTCCTGATCCAAGCAGTTCAAAATCAGGACCTAAGCAAGAAATGTAGAATTCTAGAGGTTGCTCTATGGGCTCTAGATGTGTTTCCCACCCTTCATGGACATAGCATATAGACCTCTTAGCATTTAGTTCCTACGTTTGAGGTTAGCTACCATTCTGATACCATGACAAATGAAGCGGCCAACTTGGTGGTACTCTTCAACTTAACTTCAGTAGCAATTTATCTAAAGGTCTTATTGAAACATGTTTACTAAATTCAAGCATTGCTTAGGTATCCCGAGACAGACACTTTAACACCTTTCAAGCTCTGTCACATTTTACAAGCAAAATTCTCTCCATATATATAAAAAGCATCAAAGATATACTAGGCAATACAAATAATGAGAAGGTAATATGTGATTAAATGGCTGCAACATGTCTCCTAAACTGCTAAACTTACAAGTACTAAGTTCAAATGGACTTGGATGCACTAGAGTTAAACAATGAATATATGCGGAGCATGTGTTTATCTAGATTTCATATCAACGTGTTGGAAAATGATATGGGGAGAAAAATTAGGCTGAAACAAAGGTCTAGCATTTGGAAATTAAAATACGGGTGCTTCAGAGTGGAATAATAACATCACACATCAGCATCAGTTTTGTACTCCACACCATCTGCTCATCGCTGTTGCCAGAGAACCAACAAAGTTCCAAAATGCCAGAGAAAATAGGAGAGGAAAAAATAAAACCTCGTTGACTTCTTCAGGGGGGGGCGGTGTAGGCAAAGGAGGAGCGCCCGGGAGAGGCGGAGCAAAGAACTGCCTAATCTTGGAGAGATCAACAGCAAGGTCGACTCCGCATTGAGGGCAATTGAAGCGGGAAAGACCGTGGGGGACGTTGAGTATGGCTTTGCAGTGAGCGCAGGGGAGCTGGATCTTTGTGGGATCAATGCCGTGGGCAGCGGCAGTGCGCTGCTGTTGCTGTTGCTGTGAAGTTCGCAACAGCTCCGGGGGCAGCATCTGCGGCAAATTGCACTTAGGGCATACGAACTCGGTCAGGCCGGCTCCCACCGTTAAGATCATCTTGCAACCCGCGCACCGCACTTGACAACCGGCGTCATTGGCACCAGCCTGGATGACAGGCAACGGTGGTAGGGATGGCGGAGGGGGAGGCGGAGGGGGGGAAGGAATTAGGGGAGGCGGCCCGGACGGCTGCCCCATTTCCCAATCTGTCAGCTAGTGCTCTAAACTGCAATTGATTCAGTAATCACTATCAAATAAAAGGCTCGCGATTAGCAATAATCATACGCGTTACTAATCCACAGCAGACGCCAAAAAATGGTGAAGAGGGTACTAGGATTGGATTTTGGGTTGTTGAAGCTCCCGGTACTGTATCAATTATGATAACTGAACCAGGACCAGACCAGTGACTCCAGTTTAACGCGGACAGAGGGCCACGCCCATACGAGACCGAGCTGTTGTTTGGGTTGGAGCGAGCGGCAAAACGGGAAAATCATACGCGGCGCTAATGTCGTATGGACAAAATTTTTGATCTGCGGGTATCATGTTCAAAATCAGGCGCCAGACCTCGTAACCCCCAGTGCTTCTGCATCACCATCCTTTTTTTTTAGCAAATTGTACAAAATATCACTAAACTATTTACTTTGATAGCTTTTGATTACTTAAACTTATTTTAAGCCAAAAATATCACTTAACTCTTTTTTTTTTTTGATAATGAAAACGGAGATTCATTGAAGTAAATCTGCTTTTCCAGCGTACATAATCTCCTTTGGGAAGCTTACAAATCAGACGTGACTCTCCTTTGGGAAGCTTACAAACCAGACGTGACTCTCCTTTGGAAAGTTTACAAACCAGACGTGACTTTCCTCAATTGACAGAGACAGATGAGACAATAAATGAGTAGGAACATTGTTCTTTCTTCTTACATGTAAAACCTGTATGTAGTAAAAATCCTTCAGCATATCTCTAATGCCTCTAATCACTTAACTCTTAGAGCAGTAATTTTTATGTCATTCCATCCAAATTTAGGTGTTTCTAATAGACGAAGGGTCTTGCACATGACATGTACCAAGATTTTTGAAGGGAAGTGCCTTAAAAAAATCTTTGTGGGGCATTTTAATAGATAAAAAATATTTGGGGTCAATCTGATTACTTCAAAAGTTAGGGACTTTAATCAAATTATGAACAATTCCCTAACCCATGCTATCACACCAAAGGCCAAAACTCTGACAGGTACCATTACCAAATACCAACCACTGGCAAATTCCCATTTGGCAAATGAGTTATTTTAGGCATTGTAAGATGTGTATTTTTAAAATTTTGTAGAGTTTTTTTATATTATTATAACTAAAGATGTTAAAAAATTTGTAGGAGAGAATTTTGACAAAAAATTCATTTACCAAGCAAGACCAAGTTTGAACAACACCAATCGTACACCAAAATATACTTACTTATCAAAGGGGAGAACAACGAGTAAGCATCAATTACACAAGAAATGGAACTTAAGATGGCTCTGAGTCATTGAGTATAGCCTCCACTCCATCATTACCTCCACTACTCAATAGAGTTGATTTCGTCAAAGGAAATGAGATCTCAAAGCCAAATCTCTTCAAAAATAGGTTCTCGTGATTCACAACTAGCAAGTTTTAGTCCCTCTTCTGTGCTTGCTCTTTTAAAATATTGGGCACATCATTTCTCTCTTGATTCCTCAACCATGGCTTTTCAAGTCGTCGATATTCCCTATCACACGACCTTAGGCTAAAAAATGTTATTATTGGACTCTATTTAGATTGTTACATTGTTGTCTCTTTCATACTCTTAAAGGAAAATGTAAACAATTATCCAAACTCAAACCCATAAAGGTGTTGCACCAAGCAACGTCTCCATCCTTTTCGACATTGAATCTAGTATATTGATACTATAATTTTTATTATTATTTTACCGTTAGATCAGTTTGACGATTCTACTTTTGAAACTTACCCACGCAGTTCATATACCCAATTTTCTTTCATCTTTAATGCCAAATTGAATGAGATGACAAAAAATTACAATTTAAAGTGATGCTTTTTGGTAAAGAAAAAAGTTAAGTGACCAAAAACATTTAAACTTGATAAACATTTGGTGCCATTTGCTCTCCATTTTGTTTCTATATGTTTTGACTAGGCATGTTAATTGGATAAGATCTGGCCAAATCCACTTGATTCAGACACAACCCATTAAATTTAGAGTAAATCGGGAGAATGATCACTCAACTATTAGTAGTAGCACGATCTAGTTATCGATTTTTATTTTTGACCAAAAAGGTTACTCAAATATTTAAAAGGGCAAATTACATTTTACCCCCTATGCTTTAGTATTTTTTACATAACCCCCTGTATTTTCAAAAATTATGTATAATCCCGTTATGGTTTGGATTACAGTGTCAAAATGATGAAATAATCATTTATAACGGAACTTCTAAAAATATCGAATTTGCCTTTATAAATATATGACACATTAACCCCGTATGGTTTTATATTTTACCATATAATCCCTTTATAGTTTAATACTTTACTATATAACCCCCTTATGGTTTTCAAAATATACACATAACCCCCCTTGGTTAATAAATAATTTTTAACTTTACATAGGAGTATTTTTGACATTTTAGATGACTCCGTTACGAATGATCATTCCTGTAACTTTGACACTTTAATTTAAACCACGAAGGGGTTATGTGTAACTTTTGAAACCATATGGGATTGTGTAAAAAAAAATGCTAAACCATAATGGGGTAAAATGGAATTTGCCCTATTTAAAATAAAGAAGGGTTGGAAGAATGAGTTGGGTGGTATTGAAGGAAACAGTGTAAGTAAAAGATTTTGAATTAGAGTCCTCCCATCTACACAAAAAAAAAAAACATATCTAAGATGGGCATTTTGGGTCATTCTCTACTAAATTAACCAAAGCCGACCTGCAACTTAGGACATTTGCCTTGGATGTACAATAACAAGTCAGTGTATTTTTTTTTTTCTTGATTGATTCACTATCTAAATTGGCTAATATGGCCCAAAAGACCTGTTTAAAAGAGTTGATTTACTTTTATGGCAAAAAAAATTTAGTTATCAAACCATATCATTTTAGATAGTTTAATGACCATTTTTTCTATTTATTTTTAAATTTATTAGTACTTAAATTCAAACTCAAACCCTTATTAATATAGAAAAGAAATTATAGATATGGATATTTGTAAGTTTGAGTTTCCAATGAGTATTTGTTTAGTGTGCAATTAAAAATTAATCTAAAAAACGATAAGAATATGTGAAATTTAAAAAATAGTAAAATACAACTTATTGCTCCAAATTTTTTTAACTAAAATAAGCAACCCCAAATAAAGTTGTGTGCAAGAAATCATTGAACTGAAACACATGAAATATTGTCAAACAATTCTATTTGCTTTATCTTTTTTTATCGGTACTTAACATTGAAACTTGCATATATTTAAATTCCCTATATTTTTTCTCATATATACATGTTAGTTGAGTTAGAATCTAGGTTTAGATTCTTTCACAACCATACCATAACCAAATCGATGATTCTTTCATATGGTCTGGATTGAATACGGTATGAATTTGAAATTTTGAATTCTAACCTAAGACTTACAAATGCATTTGATTTTTTTTTTTCACAAGATTATCGAATTCCAATTCTCACATATAAATGCATATGCAGTTTCTCTTGCTCAATCGATTTTCATTGCACTCAATTTGCTTTACTTGTTAATTCACTATTAACTCCAATTTTTTAATTGATAACTTATAAAGATGGAATTAGTCAATCTAATTGAGAATTTATGAAAATTTTCAACATTTAGCAAACATGAATAAGTAACCCTGAAAAAACATAAGCATGTACTACTTTAGTTTCTCGTTCCATTCATAACACAAATAATTTTAATGGTCCATTTGGTTCATAGAATGGTGTATGATCGGATAGATCATTTTGTGTTATCCCATGTTTGATTGCATTTTATATATGGCATGACACATCCGAATACATGGAAGAAGTGATATTCGTCAACTTGAAGTGACTAATTGATAGGATGATAAAATTTTAAACTAATTTATCATTATAAATAATACAAATTTATGTGCTCATAATTATATAATCCTACTCCCACATGATAACAAAACATGAATAGGTGAATTTGCCCCTACTAATTAATTTTAAATTATTTGATTAATTTACCCTTATGAATGATACAAATTCATAATGACTATTATGTAACAACATTCTCACATAATAATATGACAATAAACGGAGTAATTAGCCGCTACTAATTATATTTAAGTTTTTGACTAAATTACATCTATTAATTGATTTAATTTTTTTGACTAGTTTGCCCATACTTTCATTATAATAAAAAAACTATATTGCCCTTGCTAAACTTATTTTCTCAACCAAATTATATATAAATACATAATCCTATCAATTGAGGGTTGTGAATAAATAGTTCAATAAGCTCCAATTTGGCTTAAAGAAAAATTTTCTATATTAGCTTGAACTCAACTCATATAAAACTCTTATGAACTCAACTCATTTAAAACTCATAAATGATTTAAGTTTTAATCGATTTAACCATAATTTAGCTAAAACTTGACCTATTATTTAATTGAATTTTAAATTTAGGTTCAAAAACTTGGTCAAAATCTATTTGTAAGGGCTTGAGTGAGCTAAGTTTGAATGAACACAAATTTTTATATAGCAAAACTCTTGATTTACTTTATATATCTAAAATTTTAAACGACTCTATCTTAATAAAAGTTATAAATTATTTAATTTTTTATCAAATTATTAAATTATTTTATTAATATTTTATAAAATATTAAATTATTTTTATTAAAAAGGATATGCAAATTAAGAGGTACTTTGGTCATTAAAATAGTAATTCTAACTCATCAAATCTTTAATCAAACACATAATAGGATTTTTTTTCAACACATCCTATCCAATCCAAAACCAGCCAAACACTAGATAACTTGGATTATTAATTCAAAGATGACTCAACTTATGATTAATAATCCGAAGATGAGTCATTCCATCTCATCCCGTCCGTGAACCAAACAAATCCTAATGGATTAAGTTACATTTTAAACAAACCATATGTAAACTACAAAAAGAGTTAAATAAACATATTCCCTCATTTACTTAATGCTTCAAGACTAGTTTATGAAAACAACAATATATGCTTGGTGGAAGCTTTTGCATATTTATCTTGATTAACAGTTATTACCAAATATTCCCCTAGAAATATTAGAAGTGGCCCAAACTCACAGTAAACTTAATTCTTTATCTTTTTATTACTTTGCAAAATGAAGAATCAAAGAACAATTGTATCAAATTTAAGCAAAAGCAACACTGAAAAAAAAAACCAATTTTGTCTATGGATCTATGTAATCAATAAGAAAAAACATACAATGATTAGCACACATTTTAGAATAAAAGATAATAGGTTACGCCAAAGGTTACTAAATTATTTAAAATTACATGGTATGATCACTAATTTTTTTTTAGTAAAAAAAATCACTCAACTCTTTAAAATGTAATTTTTTCAATCAACTCATCAAATTCCAGCATAGAGATGATGAAAAGTCACTTACGTGACATGAATTAGCACTTTTTAAGGATAAAAAATATATAATTTTTTGAGGAATAATTATTCAAGCATTAGGGATGATAACTCATGAGGCATACATGAGCACTTTTTATAGGGGAATATATATATATATATATATATATATATATATATTTGTGGAACAATTTGGAAAGAAAAATCAATATCTTAGGGACAAAAAAATAATATAAGAGAATTAAAAACTTTAACTAAATTACATGCTAGTCCCTAATCTATGTTTTTTTAGGACATTGTTTTGATACCTCTTCTTACCTTTGTGGCATGCATTTCCACTGTCTCCCCCTTCACACTATAATTCCCTCATTTTCTATCACAGTTTCCTCTTTCCACCATCCCTATTTCTCCATTCCTTACCAGCACTTGCAGCCCTCTTTTCTTTTTCCTAGATCCCTTATGCCAATCCCATCAATTTCTTTCCTATGAAACCTCTCACCATCCCTCCTCTTTGACCATGTCTATCTAAATTCCTTTTATAGTTGGGAACTACTTGATAATCCAAATAAATCAATTCCTATTTATTTTTCACTTTATCTAATTCAAAACTTCCAATACTGCTAAAAATAAGAGAAAGTACGGGCTCACAATCTATCAATTGTGAAGTCTCTAACAAATTTTGTATGATTTTTAGTCAAATTCATGAATGGTCCTATAGAATATATGGTTGGCAGTGTTGATGTATCATAAGAAGATTGCATTGAAAAATGATCAACACATAAACAAATCATGAGTATATTCCAATAATATACGTCCTAAATTTGTTAAACTGGTTGTGTTTTAAGAATGGGAGGAGAAAGAAAATTGATAGTGAAAAAGAGGTGCAAGAAGAGTAGTGCGAAAACTTCGTTCCGCTCTTCACTAAATTTATTTTCAGACTTTGTTGACAATTATATCCCTGAAATCATACTATTATTCACTATTATTACCCTGAGATCCTACTATTATTCACTATTTGTTGACAATTATTCACTATTATTCGCGTAGGTCATATAAGCAACTTTCCATTCTAAATAGTCGAATATCTTATTTAACTAAAAAATAGCCAAACAGTTAGCACTCATACGAGTTTAAATAATTTAATGACCTTTTATGTCATTCACTCTACATATTAGATTATTTTTGCTGTGTTTCAATTAAAGAATTAGGAGAAAGATTTGAAATCCATCCAAATCACTCTAGTTGTTTTGATTATTTAAAAGATATTTGGATTTGTAATTCATCAATTATTAAAATACATTTTATGTATTCAAATAATTGATTATTTACAAATTCAATTACCTCATAAGTATTTGAGAGAATTTCAAATTCTAAGTAGCCTTTAATATTTCTTCTTTGTGAACAACTATGATGCCATCAGAGTGACTTTATGCCTTTATTACAATTTGTTCCAACCAAAGGGGTTTTAGTGTTAGAAAGATAATAACGGGGTAAAGTAAAATCGACCTCAAACAACAAGGAGTTTTTACCTAAATAACCAAAGATCAATTACTCTGTATAAATTGTTCTTGGCATCCATTTCTTAAATCTGCATCCGGTTCGTCTCTTCCATTTCAATTCACCCTTGTCAGTTTTGTATAGTTAGGGCTATTCTTACGCATGCATAACGTGGGAGAACACGGAAACGAACTATAATCCCAAATTCAGGCCACAGAATCTTGTCGCCATCAGTTGGAAGAGGACGGAAGGAAATTGCTATGCCGCTATTCTTGTCGTCAGAGGAGTTCCAGAGCTGCTCGAATGACGCAGCTCTGGTGGCGGAGAAGGCGGACGCTTTCATCCAGGAACTTATGAACCAACTGGAGACGGTGAAAGCCAAAGCTGATGCCGCGTCCATTACTGCCGAACAAACTTGCTCTCTCCTCGAGCAGAAGTACGTCTCCCTCTCCTCCGAGTTCTCCAGCCTCCAGTCCCAGCACTCTCAGCTGAACGCCTCTCTGGAAGAGCGCCTCACCGAAATAACTGAACTCCGAGCCCAAAACCACCAAATTCATTTGCTATCCGTAAACTCTTTCGCTCTCTTGGCTATTAATTTTTTTTATTTCATCTTTCCGGGGACTGATGCTAAACTTGTTTCCTCTCCATGTCTATTATCCTCTCTTCACCCCGAAATCATAATCCAAAAAGACTGGCAAGGATGGGGATATTGAACGGCTGTCGACTGAGGCATCAGAGCTTCATAAATCCAAGAGACAGTTGATAGAGTTATTGGAGCAGAAAGAATTAGAGATCAGTGAGAAGAGTTCGATAATCAAGAGCTATCTTGATAAGATTGTATGGCGCTATTTATTTGTTTCCCTCCTTGATTGTATTATTTGCACAATCCCTTTTAGTTCAGGTTCTCTTGACCTAATTGCATGTATAAGAATCTATTCTTGCTACACTACTGTTTTAGTTAGTACGCATATGCTTTACATGAGCGTTCTCTACCACCGAAAGAAAAGTACATAAATGAAATGAACAAATTTTGAGTGATGTCCATAACGTTTAGCCAGTATTCTTGTGGTTTGGAATCTAGGGCTACACTTCTAAATGAAGTTATCTATTATACAGGGAAAAAGTGCATTCTGGAAACTGTTTGTGATGTATCTGCTACTATATTAGAGATTGTTGGTGTTGAAGAAACATTCGAGGTTATGCATGATTGAGATTAGTCATAGGGAAAATGCTGCTGATATTTTCTGTTTCTATGTTGTAAAGGTCTACTTGACTGAGAATGCTGCTTCTAAGGAAGCACGAGTCAATGAGTTGGAGACTGAACTTGCACGATCTCAGGCTTCTTCTACTCGCATTTGTCAGGTAGGTTGAAATGCTGCTGCATTGATTACTTGTTTCTCTAGAATGTGAAACAATGTATCGTAAAACTTCGTTCATCTGTGTCAGTGTCAGTTGTTCTTTATTTTTCCTAGATAAAGGGCAAGAGAATGAAATAGAAATTAGTCGAAGCATATCGTGGAAACATAGCTACTTATTGCTTGTTTACCCTTTTCCTTTTTCAACATTTTGACTATTAAATAATCTATGTTACCTACTGAAGTTACTGTACATAAATTATTGGAAAGTCGACTCCCTCTCAGCCCCCCTTTCCCTTTGAAAATTTTGAATTGTCTTTTTTTCTTTATTTTGTCCTATATTGGTTCGATGTGGTTGTTGAGATTTGCAGTAAATCAGAGACACCAAGCCAATTAGTTAGTATAGTATCTTTTTCTGTTGTCTCATCAGTTGCAGAGTTATTGTTCTTCATGTATATGCATCTGCTTTGTACCAAAATTCTTTATATAACAAAGCATTTAGAATAGGATGATGATTCTTTTCTTTTAATGCCAAGTAGTAAAGCATCTGTAAGAGATGGTACTTATTTTTTTGTGATCAAAACTTAATTTATCAGCTAAAAGGTTACAAAGAGGTTCATGTTTTACTGACCCGGTCTCTGATTTAATTCTGACAAGGAATAGCTATTAAGAGTCCTCCTTCACTTCAATATCTCCTTTTCAATGGGATTGAAAGAAGTAAGGGAAAAGTAGATACTTAGAATCTGTTATCGGCATCGTCTTTTAAAATTTCAATGCGTTTAAAGGTAGCATCAATACTTATTTCATTTCAGTGCCTTCAATTATTTGTTTTATCAGCAGCATGAATTAGAATCTCATAGCTTATTGTCAGCTCACATCATTTCTCATGTTTAGTACATTGACTTCGTACTGGTACATTTTGAAGCTTGAAACTGAATAAATGATTGTTGATTGTTGACGTAGGAGCTCTATCTGCTTTCAATCATACTAGCTCTTGATTTAGGTGCATATTCTGATGGTTTGGAGTCTGTTAATTGCAAGCATTCTTATGGGATACGCAGTAGAAGACTGTGTCATTCTAAGGCAGGACTTGACTTTGACTATGTTTATTAGATAGTAGTAACTTCTTAACATAGTGAGGGAATCTGTGTCTTCCTTTTTGGATTTTTATTTTCCTTAGTTTTAAAGTGATTTAAAGCAATTTATGATGAATTTGCTGACATATAAGAGCAGAAATGCGTGCTTAACTGAGTTAGTACAATTAACTGGGCTATGAGCATATGTTGATTGATGGTTTCTCCCATACTGTTTTAGACTTTTGTCTATGCTCATATCTGACTTAGTCCTTTTTCTTGTATTATTTAGAATGATGCAAATGTGTCTAAATAATTGGATTTTGGCGTCTTTCTGTTTTCTGTTATAAAGCTCATCCAATTTTGAGTATGAATGTTTGCTCTCTGGCAGGAGAAAGAGCTCATAGAGAGGCATAACTCATGGCTTAATGATGAGTTAAAAGTCAAAGTTGATAATCTTATTGAGCTGCGGAAAGCACATAGTGAACTTGAAGCCGAAATGTCTGCTAAGCTCGCAGATGTGAGTCTCCCTAATAAATTGTTCATGCATTAGCTGTCGAACTGCTGATTTATAAATTTGGTGAAACTTTGTGTTTGATTTAGGTTGAGAAAAATTGGAACGAGACATCTAGCTCTTTGAAGTGGAATAAAGATAGGGTGAAAGAATTGGAATCAAAGTTAGCCTCCTTAGAGCAGGTGTGCAGAATTGTATCCCTCTTTGAGCTTTGTTTATGTCTCAAAACATCTGTTTTGTTATGTAAATATTCATTTTTGCTTTTGAAGGAGTTACTGTCAGGTAAGGATGCAGCTGCCACTATTGAGAAGCAGCTCTCTTCGGAAATCTCAACAGTAAGTAATTGTAAAGATGTATATTGATATTTGATTTTCTTCCAGGTCATGTTTAAAAATATAAAAGTCCCGGTGCACCCATAAACAATGTTAAGGAATTTAATGTTTTTTCTTGCATATTTCTAATGATGCTTATTGTTTTTGTGCATGTGTTTGTGTGCCTTTGTGTGTGTGGGAGGGAGGGCTTTTGACCTCGTCTCTTGGTTTTCATGTGGGAGTTGCATCGAATGAAGATTTGAACATTTGAAGAGTTTAGTAACTGTAATTTCATGCGTTATCCCAAAGAAAATCAAATGACTTGATTAAGGAGTAAATATAAATGTCCTGAATGAAGATTATGACGCTGTATAGACTTGACTGGAGAATAAGAGTTCTTAAACTTAAAGCATTGCGCTGAGTGTACCTTTGAATCACGATGCAGATAATGTTGGTGTAGTAGTATGATGATAATTTTGAGGTAGTGCTTGCATGACTCATAATGGTATAGGCTTGGGGTTTGGAGGGTTGGAAAGTTTTTGTGAAACTTGAAACAAAAGACAAGAATTGGTTGCTGCTGTTAGTATCTGTAGAATGTTTGTTATTGATGTATTGGGCTCTTGCTGCTCAGTTGCCTTTCTAATGCTGAAGTCATCAACCAGGAGCCAGCTTAAATAAAATAACCACTTCTTTTTCACTCCATCAACATATATGCATAGCTGATAAATTCTCTATTCTTCTGTTAAATTTTAATGTTAATTTCAGATTGCCTTATTGACAAGTATGTTCTTTTTTCTGCTCTACTTGTAAAGTGGAAAAAGCTCGTGGACCTATACAAGGAGAGCTCTGAGGAATGGTCCAAAAAGGCTGGGGAGCTTGAGGGAGTGGTCAAGGCTTTGGAGGTAAGTGTCTTGAAATTGAGTTTCGTGTGTATTCATTCACTAGAACTCTTTTATTTATGCATGTATAATTTTCATGTTTGGTTTGTTGCAGACTCATTTAGTTCAAGTTGAAGATGACTATAAGCAGAGGCTTGAGAGTGAAGCATCAGCAAGAAAGGAAATTGAAAAGGTTTTGTGTTTTTTCCCCTCTCCTCCTTTTGCTTATGTGGTCCTTTTTTGTAATTACCTTGGGCTTGTTCTGATAAATATCTAGAGTCTCATTATCCAACATTAACTTCGATTACTAGATTCTCCAATGGAACCACTTCTTTCTCAGGAATGGACTTTTCTAGTTCTAGCTTGTTATGTGCATTTATCTAGTTTTTGTATGTCACTGGAAACAATTCTTTCCATGAGTTATTGTGCCTTCAACTTCTTTTTAGATGGTTATGTACTCTATGTTATGTAGGTTACCATGTAGAACATAAACTGGTTGCCTTTCAGAGTAGTTTTAAGCTTTTCATAGAGCAACAATGTTAAAGTACAAGAAGTGTTAATGATTCTCAACAGGTTGATAAAGTGTTAGCCAAACATGTTAATTGCAAACTTAGTGATCCATAGGCCGTTGAAGTACTTTACTTTCTCGTCTACTGAAATCACTTCCAGATGTATCTTTGTGATTTATTAGTGTTCTTTATGATTTAATTGCATCTTGGTCTTTGATGGCAAGGATTTGATTCCAGTTAAAAGGTGTATAGTTGTGAATAACTTTTGTCCATGTGCAACTTGTGCACGTGGAGTATGTGCATAATTTATAAGGTCTAGGATGGTTTGCTTGTGATTGCTGGATTTGAGGCTTATAGTTGCATAAATAAGTTGATGGGTTTGTCCTGTACTGGGCCCAGAATTTGTGAATTAATATTTATGTGTCTTAGGTGTTTTTAATAGGTAGGAAAAGTTAATGCAGTTTGTGATTATGGGTTTAGGTTTTCCCTTTTTGTGGTTGCTAGTTGAATTACCCGTTGAGTCTTATTTTACTGTATCATTTCAATTCTTGTTTTGTAATATTGTTTCAGTAATTTATGTCAAATTAACAGACTATGGACAATTTGGGTGTAATAAATGTATTTTCTATTATTTGAAGCAATTGTGCTGCAAACTTTTTCCGACCTTATGTGTAAATTGGTGACTTTCTACTTTAGCATGAGAAAATATTAACATCAATCTTATTTCATTTCTCAGCTGTCCTCTTTTTAATCTGGTAGGTTTTGTTTCGCTGAAGGTAAATATTGTCTATCTAGTGATCCTTTTGTTGAATAATTTGGGGAAAAGAATGAGATGTTAGCCAATTAGTTTTTAGTAGAGCCTTATATATGTTTTAGAGTAACAATTTTTATGTTGACTCTCAATAATGAAATTTGAGTTGGAGATTTTCCCACCATGTTACAACCTTCTAGTACTTGCATTTCATTGATTTATAGAGTCATTTTATTTTGGTTTGATTAATTGTGATGCCCATGATTATAATTCATACTGCGGCCATTGCTGTTTTTAATTTCATACTTTCTCCTTTTGAATATTTAGGAAGCTGATTGTTTGAAGGAAAATTTTGAAAAGTGTGCAGCCGAGTTGGAAAGTTTTAAGAGGAAGGACCAGCTAAAACCACTTCCCCTGAGTAGTTTTACTTCTGAATTGTAAGTCTAACAGACATATTTTGCAATGCAGGTCCATCTGACTTGTTCCTGGTTGACTTCATCTCTTAATGTATATGACTTTTTGTTTGAAAGACACCTTTTGTAATTGAAATTGCTTTAGAATTTGCATGTGATGCATCTACGACTCTGTTTTCCTACCTCTCCCTCTAAAACCCTTTTTAAGTGAGGACTTGAACTCTATTCATGACAACCATTTGTACTTTTGGCTTTATTACCTGCATAAAGCTCACCTCTACGTATGCGATTGGTTGCTTCTTTAGTCTTTGACTGTGAGTGGCCACAAAGTAAATTTTTTGTTCTCTATTTTTGCTGTGGATAATTGCAGATGGGTGGACCCAAGGGAAGGTACAAACACTGTTGAGGATAATCGGATGCTTTTGCCAAGTATTCCTGTTGGTGTCTCTGGAACTGCATTAGCAGCTTCCCTTCTTCGAGATGGTTGGAGTGTAAGTTAGAAATTTCCTCTGTCTTTAGTCCATTTCTGAGGAGAAATTCAAATCTTGTCGAGTTCATGACCTCATTCGGCTGTTTATCTGTTTTTTCCACCTGTCTAATATCTTTCTATCTTGTTAAGTTGGCTCAATTGTACACCAAATATCAAGAAGCTGTTGACGCGTTGCGGCATGAGCAATTGGGAAGAAAACAATCTCAAGCAATTCTGGAGCGTGTATGTTTTTGAACTCTTCTTTATATCTAGTATGTGTAGCATGTTGTGTAGAACTTCCAACTTCTCTTGTTATGATACATTCACAATGTGCCTGACTTAGGTCTTCAGATGAGATGCTTTAACCAGATGTCTCAATGTTCATAAATTATTTATGTTTTGTGAATTGAAAGGGAAAGTTTCTGTTCCAAACATTCTGTAGTGGGTTATTGTTTGTGAGGGGGTGTATGAATTGGCTGCTTTTTGGGTGTGTTTGCTCACATTCTGTTAAGGGAATTGTTTGTTCTCTTCTGTTTTGTCTTTTCTACTCTCTTACATCTAGTGCATAGTGTGTCAGTTCCTTTTTCAATTTATCAATGTTGCTTTTATTTTCTACAATAATGAATGTGCACATTAACAAGTTTCCCTGAATAGCCTGGAGAAGGAAAATACAGTTTCCAGGAACATTTTCGAACTTTGCCTGTGGATATGCATATTGATATGATTTTAGAAATGCTGTAAAAAGTTAATTTTAGAAATGCGGCTCTGTTTGGATCTACTAGTTTTTCAAAAACTAATTTTTCAAATACTATAAAAATTTTTAAAAAGTATTCTAAAAGGTACTCTAAAAAGTAATTTTTTTTAATTTTTAAAAAATATTTTAAAAACTCTACTACTCTTAAATATTTCAAAATATTTTCTAAAAATATCCTAAAATATATTTTAAAAACTCTACTACAGTAAAATTTTTCAAAAATACCCCCAAAAACAGCTAATTCAAACGGAGTTTCCCGAGCAGAGAAATGTTTGTCCTGCTGCTGATTCACTGAATGCCATGTTTAACAACTCTCTATACATTGGATGCCTTAAGATTGTGTCCAATGTGAAAATGCTTTTGCTATTATTAACTAATGGGGTTGAATCGAGTTGACTTTGAGCTGGCACTGGTTGAAATTCGACTTGAACTTCACCATAAGCTGCAGTCCTACTATAGCTTTCTGGCTAGAAATGAATTTGTGAGAAATCCTCAACTTTTTTGCATCAGCATATTTTGTTTTATCTAGCCCTCATTGACTAATTAAGTGATGACATGCACCCATAAAAGTCAAATTCTTATAGCTGTAATTGAAAATTTGGAAATTGGGTTCACTTTACTACTTGGTGACACTTCTCTATTGGGTAGCAAAGGACTTTGGAAAGCAATTACTATTAGTTGGAGCTGATGTGTTGCAATGTTCATACTGTTGCACCCACTGCTATTCAAGTAAGTTTGTTAACAGGTGGTGTTATAGGAAGTGAGAAAAAGAGGAGAGCGGTGAATGAGACACAAGCTGGGAGTAGATACCAACTTTAGAAGAAGCAGGGAATAGGAGAAGTATGAAATCCCCAAAAATTATAGCCAAATGATATTATTCACGGTTTTCTGCGTGGGCATGTATTGACGAGCTTGTAAATTGTAAATTTGTTGATATAGATATGCGTCACAAGTTTTCATTAGCTAAAGCTTTACGCGTGGCACTGGATTAATATGTATGTGCTGCTATATGATCTTAATCCAGTCTTATTTTTGTACTTTTCTGAATCGAATATCATTTTTTAGGTACTTTATGAGATAGAGGAGAAAGCAGGTGTCATCTTGGATGAGCGAGGTTTGTCCTGGATTTCAAGAAACTTCTGTTTACTTCTGTTCTTTTACCTCTTATTCGTTTTTTTTTGGCTTGTTCTTATGTGAACATTGATCTGGAGGTCATCGTTTAACTTATATTTGTGGGGTATTTGGGATTGGAAGAAAAATTGAAATTAATTTCTTCATATGAATTAGCATTCTTCTTTTTTAAGTCAGTAATGATGTTTTTAACATTCACTCAAACATGGAAATCACTTTCCACAATTTTGTGACAGACTGTTAAAATGTGGTTCATGAGGTCACTACTTCACAAGAAATTAACTAATTTTGTTTGATCAAAATTTCCTTTTCTGTGTATTCGTTCATCAAACCCTGAGTAATAAGATCTTCCTTCGTTCACTACTTCACAAGAAATTAACTAATTTTGTTTGATCAAAATTTCCTTTTCTGTGTATTCGGTCATCAACCCCTGAGTAATAAGATCTTCCTTGGCTTAGGAATTGTGCTGGTATAAAATTTTTCTTACAGTTAGATAATTTTTTTTCCCAAAAAGCATGCAGTTTAAGTATTACGGACTCAATTTTGGTGGATGCTTTCCGATATGTATCCACCTTTAGTTAGCGGTTTTAGTGGTTAACACGGTTACTAAAATCGCTATTCTTTATTATTCTTTTATTGTACTCTGTCGTCTTTGCCTTCTTCTTCTCCTCCTCGTCCTCCTCTCCCTCTCTCTCTCTCTCTCTCACACACACACACACACACAAAACTATCTTCTTCTTGAATGCTAAATCCTCAATAAGGAAAGGCCTCTTCGAGGTATGCAGCACGAAGTATGAAGGTTTCTTGTTCTCTGTGTGTGTTTCACTCAGCTATGTTCTTGTTAAATGATCATTCCCTCGGAAAAACAATTCTGCTTGTAGTTATGTAGGAGTACTGAGTACAGCAGTAGAGCCATGTTTAGCTGTGGGTGGGCAATTGCCCCCTTAAACTTTGAAAAATTCATGATGTCAGCACGAAAAAGCTGAAAGTTTTTAATTTTGGCCTACATTTGCATTGCTTCTTATTATGTCTCTTGGACCGTAGAAGCTTCAGAAAATTAGTCAGATCATGTTTGATATTGTTTGTGAGTATATGCAACTTATGTTCGTCATATTATTGATTTGATGGGTGAACATCCATTCAATAAGGTTCTGAAGCATCTAGAATGTGAAAATTCTGTTGGTTTAATATCTTGCTCTTTTAAATTGTAGTTTGTAATGGCCTAAATTGTAGTTTGTAATGGTGGAAGTTGGGCGGTTGGCTGCTGAATATTATAACTTGTGAGAAGAAGTGTTTGAACTAAGTACGGGGCAATTCTAGTATTTTTCTATGCTTGCACTAGCCCATGCTCTGCTTACTATATGGATGCAACGAGCACATTTGATTTGTCTATCTCCTTTCTTCAAGACAATAATTTGTAGTGGGGATACAGCATTATTGATGCAGAGTATACTTGTACCTCCATAAAAGTACTGTAGAAGCTTCTTTGCTTGATTTCTTCTTCTTCATGGACATGTCATGGGGTTAATTGCCTTTTTGCAGCTGAACATGAGAGAATGGTTGAGGCGTACTCTTCACTTGACCAAAAATTGCAACATTCTCTTTCTGAACAAACTGCTCTACAGAGTCACACCCAAGAACTAAAGGTTTAGACATATTTTAGTTTTAAGAATAATGCTTTTCAGTTTTGATCATGAATTTACATAATTGGTTTCAGGCCGACTTGAGGAGGCATGAACGTGAGTATGCTGCAGCCCAAAAGGAGGTTGTTGATCTCCAAAAGCAGGTTACATATGAGGATGTAAACGCTCAATATTTTTTCATCTTTAGCCGGTCTTTCATTTACTTGAGAGCTTCTGAAGCTAGCATTGCATCAGCTGCTCTCTTGTGGTTATTTTTATCAAGTGAAAAATGATTGAAACGTTAAGTCTTTGAATCATATTATAGGTTTTAGATATCCCTGTGGTAAAGCAAACATCCATGCTACTAGTGGTTTTCGACCCACTCGTTACCTCCTTGTGCTTTTGACTGAAGTAAAACGTGGTTGGAAAACTTCAAAACTAAGAGATACCTGTTACTTTGTTGTAGATGTAGCCATGTAGCTTAAACAACTCCAAAGAATACTTGTTGGGTAATTATGTTTCTGTGAGAATAAAAGAATGCCTACTTATTTTTGGATAGGAAAATTTTTGGATTTTTTTTTGCATCATAAACACATTCAAATCACCATTTTTATTCAACCTTTTTTAATCTCACGTATATCACATCGCAAAAAGTGCAAAATTATTATTCTAAAAAAAAATCCAGATGATCTTTGATCCAAACAGGATGTTTTCCATCCATCTGAGTAATGATTTTACTGATTAGATAATTAATTCGTTTGGCAACTTTTGTTGCCTATGCTGGAAAGTTTGGTAAGGAATCCCTGGCAAGTTTTGGAAGCGTTGCAGATACAATGGGCAATAATCTCATTCTTGCTATTAAGCCTCACTTGTCAATCTTGTTCTTAGGTTTCTGTTCTTCTAAAGGAATGCCGGGACATACAACTGCGTGGTGGATCTGTTTGTCATGATTATGGTGATGCTTTTATGGCTGGTTCTGGTGTGTCGACTGAAGATGCTTATAATGCTGCTGATGTTATTCCTGAGCAGTTGGTATGGTCTGTTGCCTGTCTGCACCCCAGCACATTCACCAAAAATAGAAATATAAAGGAGAAAAAAGGAATCCATCCTCTGTCTAGTGTACATTAATGATGTGCTTTTTAAATAAAATGTGTGCAGCTGGCTTTCGATGCAAGGAACCCATCCTCTGTCTAATGTACACTAATGATGTGCTTTTTACCTAAAATGTGTGCAGCTGGCTTTCAAAGATATTTCTGGATTGGTTGAACAGAATGTCCAGCTCAGACGCCTTGTTCATAGCCTCTCTGAGGATATTGCATCTCGAGAAACTGAGTTAAAGGTTTTCGGAAATATCTACATTTAACTAGTGCAGTTAATTATTTTCAACGCCTTATGTAGCCTTACCTGCATTACTGTAAGTTGCAGGAGAAGTATGAAAAAGAGCTTCAGAGGCATACTGATGAAGCTGGCTCTAAAGTTAATGCTGTATTAGCTCGAGCTGAAGAGCAGGCACGCATGATTGAATCACTTCACACCTCTGTAAGCTTCTTCAAGGACAATGGCTTTTGGAACAGCGCATTCTTGTTTTGTTCTGATTGACAGAATTAGTGGTAAAAAGTATTGGCGCTCATGCACTGTTTGTCTGGCATTTCCTCCATACATAGGTAGCAATGTACAAGAGGTTGTATGAAGAAGCTCATAAACCTCGTTCTCCGAATCCTCTACTTCAAGAAGCTGTGCCAGGTTTCTGCTTGTTTCTTTTTGTTTCTTTAATTTAGTTATTTTCTTCTGATGTTTACATGCTATGCTCTGTCCTCCTCCATTCGTGCTGGATGCTAATTTTAAGGCAAGGTATATTAAAGGTTCTATTATGCATTTGTTGTTTTTTTTGTCCTTTCATCAATGAATCGATCCCTTTGTCCTCCTACCAATAATCACTTGCAAACCGGATAGTCTATGTAGACCAGGCCTACCTAATTTTTCTCCTCCTCATAATGAGTTGTTTTATGACAAGTGTACCAAATCAATTGCAATTCTTGGTGCTTCAATGGTTGAAGATACAGAGCTTTTCTCTGGTACTTTCCTTGAACAATTCACTTGCATTCCAATTCATGGTTGCTGGCAGGGGATTGGATTGTAATGCTGCATGATATCTTGGAATTTGGTCTATGATTAATGGCTAAAGTTTGTACAGGAATCCTTTGACGTGCATTTAGAAGGATATTGAGATGAAGAAAAAGTAGTTGGAAATAAGATATGTAGTTGATTTATGACCATTTGAGAATTGTCCTTATTAACTTTTTCATGTTAAGTGGAGGCATGACTTGCGGCTTTGCTGTTGTTATTTGGGCATGGCTAAGTTTCTTTTTTCAGCAAACAGATCCTAAACACACACCAATTCAGCAACTATAACATAAAATTGAGGGAGGCTACGTTGATCATAACTTTCTCATTCCATTATACCACAACAATAAAGACAAAATAGTTAAGAAATGACCTTCAGTCTTATGTATAAGAAGAGTTTCATCTGAAAAGACATTATTGTTAAAATAAATACAGAGCCAACTAAGATTGTGTACAACAGATGTTTATTCAGGAATAATGCCTCGATATCTTTGTGAAAGTATCACATATTATAATCAAACATTCTTCTGATGTCTCAGGCTTATTAATCAGTTAATTTACGTTTATTTCCTCACGCTTCATCTTTATTTTTTTTGGTGTTTTCTTTTTGAGTGCTACAGAGAGGGATAACAACTGCTGGTATCCTTCTTGGAAGTATGGATAGATACGTATTATACATGAACTATCTAATTTCTCATGTCTGGAAGTTGAGCAATCATGAATTTTGCTTCAGCTGATATGTTAGTCAGATATTCTTGACGGTTATCATAGATCCTGAGATAGCCCATTTGTTTTCTAATTATAACGAGTTTCCTTCAGGATTCATATCTTGTTACACATACCTTCCCTAAAAAGTAATGTATACGTAGGATGTGCTTGGAGTTCAAGAATTACCCTTATCCATGCCATGCCAAAGGTCACTAAAGTTTTGCAGGGGCAAAATAGTTAATGTTACTGAACCAAGTAAAGTTATTGTGATTTGAAAAGCCAAATGGGAAGTCTTTGTTTTCATGCCAAATTTAGGTAGGGGTCAATGTATTTTACCCTATCTAATTCCAATTTTTATTATAATTTGGTCTTCCTGGATTATTAGCCAAAATAAAAAACTATCCCTAATTTATTACATGTTAGTTTTTAATTGATATTGCTTTTGAAGAATTATGCTTGGATTTTTTCCCTTTTGGAAATAGTCAGCTCAATAAGTTCTGTTCATTGTATCACTAATCCTTCTTTTCCTTAGCACAAATATGCCTGGGAACCTTATGCCTTGGCAGCATCTAATTTCAAGTAAGGTCCTTTCTATGTTTTGAAACAAAGAAAGGAAACGGAAGATAGAAGTAAGAAGGTTCATATTGGCACTGACGGGATAGAATTCGTATTTACTCTATATGTTGTTCAAAGTTTCATGTTGACATCTTAACATTGCTTTATAGATTGGATGACCAAAATTTTGTGGAATATCCTTTTTGCATGATGATTACTAATAATAGTGCTTATTGCAGTGGAGCGAGGGAAGGCTATCATTGGCCTAGCTGACGATTCTTATGTATGGTTCTGAAACACTTGAGGAATATAAACTTTATCTCTCAGAGTAATATGAGTGATCACTTTTGTCTTATTGGTTTAATATAATCCAGGAATCTTTGAAGAAGGCACAAGAAAAGGCTCATAAGCAGGTGAAATATCTTGATGAAGAATTAGGGAAGTCAAGGTAAATGGTTGGCAGTTCATACAAGTTTACCTCCGCTTCTGCCCTCTTGTGCATACTGGTATTGTTTGTTTGAGAATGGGTTACACCCAGCCACTTAACGGTGTATTTTATGACTTTTGGCTGAGGGTATGCATGCATTCGGTAAAATTGAGAGCATGACCATGAGATGTTAGGGAGTTAGGTGTCTTCAAGAAGCTTATTAGGTGCTGATTATAAGACATATGCGTTGCACTGCACAATCTTTTACAGATGCCTTTAGATGATGTGCTGCTTTCTCTCGTCATGTTGCTTTCGTTTCTATTATACATATCTTGTCTGGATACTCATACAGTGCTTACTGTTTCGTATTTATTCTTTTCTTGTTTGGTTCTCTATTCTTTTCATGTCTAAATGGGGAAGCAAGGGGTGGAGGGAGATGGGCAAGAAAGGGAAGGATGGTCTCTAATTTATTTGTGATCCTTGTGTCTGAGAGCTTGAAATGGTTTCCTGTTAAATATACATATCAGATGGTTAGTATTATTGCCTAGGTGAAGGAACTAAGACGGTGGTCAATTAGGATTGATTTGGTGCTTTCCTATTGATCTTGGCATTGTCAGTTTGATTGCTTGTTATCTTCTTCTCATGGTAACTAGGTCATATTAATATGTCCTTTATTGCAGGTGTGAGATCATATCGTTGCGATCAGAATGTGACAAGTTAGCTCTAGAAGCACAACTAGCACGAGAAAAACTTGAAAGGTTTATGGCAGAATATGAACACCAGGTCAAAATCTTATTTATGGAATATTTGGGTATTGTATGTTAATATCTTTAATTGCATGGTTTATCTTAATACATTTGTTCTTGTGGTTTGACACATCAGAGAGATGAATATAATGGGTTGCTAGCAAGAAATGTTGAGTTCTCACAGTTGATAATTGACTACCAAAGAAAGCTACGTGATAGCTCGGACTCGCAGAGGGCTGCTGAGGAGCTTTCACGAAAATTAACCATGGAGGTGATTGCCATATCTGTTTGTTCTACCATGCTAAGAATTTATTTTGAGTGACAAAGTTTTACTTTTTATTCACAATAGTTCAACATAGCGCTAGCTTCTTTGTGAAGAGGAACAAAGGGGGTGGTACCTGCCTCTTGACAAAAGAAAGCATCACGTTAAATTTTAAAATTTTCTTAGAGAAAAATACTCAGTGAATTATTTCAATGTTGTAGTATGACATTCTTGGTCAATGTAACGTTTCCAAAAACTCGATAAACAAACAGAGAATTGGACAATCCTATCTTTATCCTCAATTTCAGTACATTTTGAAGCTTAGACTTCAGCTGTTCACGACCTTTCCTTTTCACACAGCAGTTTTTTCTTTAAGATCCAAATGTGGAGCTTAGAGTTGTAATTATTACAGGCTTCTTCCTTCATTGTTCACACAAAATCTGGCTTAACAAATAGGTCTTTTGTTGTGGCTAATGTGGTCCAGCATTAACTGGAGGCAGCAAAGAGCTGTGCTGGAACAAATGAATGTATTCTCCTCCAACTTTTTGCAAGTCTGTTAACAAAACAATTTAATTCGCTAAAGGAGTATGCTTTCTCCTGTTAAAGTACTTGGGATACTTGTCATGCAAAAAATGCTACCCTCTTGGCTAAAAGTCCTTATTTGTGTCAAGCAGAGCAGTTTGTCCTCAAATCATTAAGAAGATCTTTAAAAGAAAAACATCCATTTCCTTTGTTTCACAACTGATTTGGAACCTTAATCTCTGATCGTAAAAGTTTGCCAAATGTTTTCTGATATTCTGGCTTCTTTGTTCCGCAAGCTCATCTTAAAATTGACTGTCATGCAACCCCTTTATACCTTCTAGGCACATATATGTGACTTTCTTCGTTTTCTGTTTTTTTAACTATTAGTGATGGAAATTTGCTTTCCTCCACTACCAAATGTCATATCTAATTACATTTTAATGTCTTGCGCTTTGTCTGTGTGCTTTTCTGGCTTTTGAGCTTTCTAGCCTCTTTGGGTCCCTGTTTTGTTAATTACGTTGATTTATTAAATAAAACAAAATCGAGGAGATCTCAGTGTGGTTAATTCACCCATCATTCTTTCCCTATATCTATAGAGTTTTCAAAGTGCAGCCACATAATTCTAAAACAAAAGGGAAATTTTATGTTCTTATTCCCCAAAATTTCAATCAGATGTGTGCACTATCAGATTAGCCTCGGGTCTTAAATACCATCTGGAATCAATTTTCTATACCACATGAAGTGAGGGACATAGCAATTTTTGACACACAAGGCTTTCTTGTACTAAACCAATTGTATTATCCTTCTGCCGGTGTAATATCAATGAACTCTGCCTGATCAATAATGTCACTTAACTCCTTTATTGCTGCAGCAGATCTGGGACAACCCAGTGTTGACTCCTTCATCAATATTTTCCATTTCAGAAATGAGCACCTACCATCATCTTCTGCTTACGAGGATTGTGATTTTAAAATAGGCTCCTCGGTCACTTGTGGACATAGAGATGGAAAGACTCCTTCCCAGAACTTCCTAGGACAAATTGGTGTTGAGAATAAAACCCATTTTTTAATGCCTGAACTAGCTTCTGCAAAATAAATGTTCCCATAACTTGAAGCTCAAAGACTTATTCAGATTTTGTGGATGGTTCTGTCCTTTCTCACCCAAAGAATTCTCTCATGACTTTTTTAATGCGGCTAGCTCTTCCTTGTATGTACTTCTGAGAACACATAATAATATTATTTTCCACACTCACAGAATAACTGAAAGTCGCAACTTCTTGTTGCTGTATTTACAAGCTTTGCTTTGAGAGTCCCGGAGTATTTTGTGCAGAGAATGCCCAACAGCTTAAGTATTCAGATAAAGTTTAAGTTCAGCTTGTATCTGCAGAATCAACTTTTCATGAGATGATATCCAATTAATCTTAAGAATGTGTTTTTTGGTGTTTATCTTTGTCATTACTAATTTTTGTCCTAATCATGACTTGAAACAAGTATATTACCTTATAGGTCTCTCTTGTCAAGCAAGAAAAGGAAATGTTGTTGAATGCTGAGAGGAGAGCTGCTGATGAAATTCGTAGCTTGTCAGAGAGGGCTCATCGTCTGCAGGTATTTATCTTAAAGGCATTTTTATTCTTCTCTACTTTCTGCAAGGGCAAATTATGATTATAGATTGTGCATTCTGTTACTTGTGTGAATTTCTTCAGGCTAGTTTGAATACTATAGAGAGCACGGAAGAAGTTCGAGAGGTACCCCCCATTTTTAAATTGTTTTTTAAATTTTTTCTCCAACATGTTGGTTTTCACTGTTGTAGTTGTTTTATCAAAATAATATGAGCTTTGTTAAGGGGTATTTATTTATTTATTTATTTATTTTTGGTGGAAGCAGGAGGCCAGATGTGCTGAAAGAAAAAAGCAGGAGCTATATATTAATCAAATTGAGGTTTGTTTCCAGTTTCGGACATGCTTCATCCCTAGCCTCTTTTTAATTAATAGGTTGAGCTATTACTGGACTTGTAAACAGATGCAGAAGGGTAGAAAGATTTCTTTTCTTTTCCCGTGTTTTCTCCAATGCTTCCATGATCTGCTACTCTTTTCAATTATGTTGTGTGTTCTGCTTTTTATTTTTTTTATTTTTTATTGATGAGTAAGATGGATGCAGAGAGAATGGGCTGAGGCAAAAAAAGAGCTTAATGAAGAGCGTGACAGGGTCCGAAATCTTACACTAGAGCGGGAAAGTTCCCTGAACAGTGCATTGAAACAAGTTGAAGAAAGTGGAAAAGAATTGAGTAAAGCCTTACATGCACTTGCTGCAGCTGAGGCTAGGGCATCTATTGCCGAGGTCTCTGTTATTTAGAATATTTGGCCAATAATATCTCCTAGTTCATGCTTGTGTTTAGTTGGTGCTTGGTAACATAGTGAATAGGTTATAGACTTTGCTTCTCATATTGTTAATTTAATCCAGGCCCGATGCTCTGAGTTGGAGGAGAAGATGAAGTTGGCCCATTTTGAGGTGATTTTTCCACCTTGCACTTGTTGTGAAATATCTTAATGTAGGCTTTTTAATTGGTTGTAAAAGGGCCACTTGCATCTGTTGTTCTGAAGAATTGTGGCACTTTATCCATGACATTTACTTGGTCTTTCGGCTGATTTTTATGGGTTTACTCTGCTTCGTTGATAATGAAATTACTTGGTTGATAACTGACTTTTATGCTTTTCTAAGACAGTTGCTAAAAAGTTGTTTGTTTCTCTTTTCAGTTTTCCCCTGCTCCATATTCTGAGCCTTTTTACACTTTTTCACTGAATTAAGATATTTGTGATGTTTTTCCCTGCTTCATTTTCTGAGCATTTTTGCACTCTTCCCAACCTTCATATTGCTTTCTCTAGTGCAGCGATCTTGTGATGTTTTAAATCACTTTTCAGATATATCCTCTGTTGTCTGATGAAATTTTGGTCCTGTTTGAATGCCTTTTTTCAAATTCTTAATTTTTCTTATTTTCCGTGGTTATTGTGATACTGAATTATACTTTACTGCTTATAATTCAGGCTTCTGAGAAATATGGAAAAGGTGGACCTAACTCTACTGCTAATAATGAGGTAACCTTGTTTTACCTACAGCATTCTGGCTTCTGTGCGTATTTCTTCATTTCAAACAATGTCTGGTTGGCACACATGCTCCCCTTGTGGGGTTGAGGTTTACAGTTAGGATTTAGTGGGGTTGATGTGTGCTTTATTGGGTAGAAAGAGAACAAGAAAAAGTTCCAATGTTTTACCTTTAGGGCATGTCCTAGCAGTGGGGGCAAACTTGAGATCTGGGAAGTTGTAAGGTTCGATTCCTGCTGCTTGGGGCCCCTAGCCCACTGCTTGCTGCAGCTTGCCCAGTTAGTGCAGCCCAAGTTTGGTATAGTAAATATCAAAAAGGGAAAAAATAGGAATTTTGATTTTTTCAGTAGGAAAATAAATTTGTATGAAGTTTGATCTCTGTTCATTGACCTTTTGCGTTTGTAAATAATTGGATTCAAGATTGTATTGGATTTGCACACTGCTGAACATGAAATTGCAAAATTGAGAGAGGAAGCACGAATCAACAAGGATCACATGCTTCAGGTAATTTCAATGCTTCTGGGGTTACTACTTAAAATAAATGATATGCTAATCTCTTTTGGCTATTGTGGCAGTATAAAAACATTGCTCAGGCTAGTGAAGAAGCTCTTAAACAGCTGGAAGTTGTCCATGAGAACTCAAAAGCAGAGGTTGTCCGAAAGCTTTGTTGTTTTCTAAAATAGTGAATTTTTCTCATTCACAAGTTGGTATTGCATGTTTTCCACAGGCGGAGAATTTGAAGAAGTCGCTCGAGGCAGAACTTTTATCTCTCAGACAAAGGGTTACTGAACTTGAAGAAGAATGCAACTTGAAAAATAAGGAAGTGGAATTTGCAACTGTCAGGAAGGAAGAAGCTCTTGCTGCTGCTTTATCAGAAATTGCATTTCTAAAAGAGGATTGCTCGGTTAAGACGTCAGTGTTTGACTACCAATATCTTTGTTGGTTCAGTTTGACTTGTGCAGAAACTGCTATTCTGTCTAAACTGATCTTTTTCTGAAATTGGCATATCCAAAATTGAAAAATGTGACTCAACCTCCCAATTCCCAATTCAAAAAAGATAATGCATCAAATGATCTGCAACAGCCACCAGATCCCATGTGTTCTGCTTTTGCCCCCCAAGGCTCACTTCAAATGATATGACTTTAGATGGTTACATGGGATGTTGAAAATATTACATAAGAAAATTGGTTGTTTTTGCCGCCTTGAATGGCTAATCATTGTATTATTTGCAGGTCTCAAGTTGCAGTTTTGGAAACACAAATTTCTTCTTTAAAAGATGATTTAGAGAAAGAGCATCAAAGAGCACGTGCTGCTCAAGCTAATTACGAAAGACAGGTTGCCATGATTGTTATAACTGCATTTTGCTCTATTGTTTGGTCATTTTTAGATCACCAAAAGTTTTTGGGACTGTATGCCTATGTTCAGTAAGTTGAAGCAGTTTATGTTAAAAGATGCGCTGCCAAAATTCCTGTCCAAACTAGACTTCATAAGAGGATTTGGTTTCAAATGGTAACTGATTGCTTATATCTTCTGGCATTTGCTCTTAATTCTGTATGTATCAGTGAAAAAAGGTGAAAAATTTTCTTTTCACCTTGTATATTATGGTTTTTGCTGTCTAAAGACCAGCTAAGAAGATCTGAGAAAATGACTATACAGTGTTTTCTAAGCATGGACTGGTGAATGGCTGAGTATTCTCATAAACATGTGCTTTCCATCTTTCCTTTGCTTTAACTCCATGAAGAGTTCTTGATCAACGTTTGCCATGGAAGGTTGAACTTTCACTTGACAACACGGCTATGCAAAACATATGGTATCCAGTATCCACTGGACGTTTTTATTGGTCTGCATTAGAATTTGAAACATTTCGTATTGTGGGGAAATTATTGAAATGGAACTGAAGAGTGGCTTTCCGTTCTGTTATCTTTTGGTGTTCTTCAGATGCATAATATTACTCTCGTTTCATTGGTGATGTGTAATTTATTTTTTATACTTAATATGCATATTTTTTTTGTGATTTTGGTAGGTTATTCTACAGTCTGATACGATTCAGGAGTTGACTAGAACTTCACAAGCTTTAGCTACACTGCAAGAAGAAGCATCCGAGCTTCGCAAATTGTCAGATGCACTGAAAACAGAAAATGTATCTTCCTTTTCTGTGACAAATTGTTGTTCCTTTTCTCTCACCGGTTTCCAGTTAATTTGTACTGTTGTCGATCTTGCATTTTTGGATTTGAATCCATTGTGTTTATTATGATTCTTTTCGATTTGATATAATCACGATCGTTTCATGTCATTGTGTAAATTTGAAATTTCTACTCTGAGAGCCAATTTTGTGTCACCTGAGGAACCTCTTCTGTGGCCTACATGGTCACAGGTATTGCATCTTTAGTTTTCTTACAACTCCCAGCTCTTATGAAAGTCTGACATGTAGGGCAATTCCCCGTGCACTACAATTACTAAGAATAGCATATTGCATAGTTTGTCAGTTTTGAAGTTCCTTTGTTTCCTAATCCTTCACAAACAAACAATTTCATATGAACAGAATTTAGCTGAAATACTCAGTTTATGAACTGTCCACCTAATGCCTTCATGTTTTCAAAATCTTTTCCATTTAATTCAACAGTTAAATGGTGATCTTGTTCATCTGGATTTAATTAATCTGAGAGTAAGACTGCACCTTTCGCAGTCATATGTATGGTCAGCTTTTTCTTTGATGGAAGTTTCATTACTGCTGCTTTTTTTTTTTCAGTTTTATGTTGACCAACCTGTAGATGGAAAGATGATAGGGTATCATAGATTGTTTTCGTTCTGGATTTGTAATGGTTCTGCCCAATTCTTGTAACATTTCCTTGTTTTGTACACAATCTCATAACCAGTTAACTGAAGAATGGTTCCTACCTCTTAGTTTGATAGTCATTATTGAGACTAGATATTAGCTAGGAGCCCCCATGTGGTAATTATCTTCCTATTCGTTCTGGGTTTGTAATGATTCTGCCCAATTCTTGTAATATTTCCTTGTTTTGTACACAATCTCGTAACCAGTTATCTGAAGATTGGTTCCTTCCTCTTAGTTTGATAGTTCATTATTGAGACTAGATATTAGCTAGGAGCCATCATGTGGTAATTATCTTCCTAACTGCCTCTGTCCTGTTAAATTGAAGATCAAACTCAGAACTTATTTATGTCCTTTAATTTCGTTACCTCAGTAATATGTATGTTAGAGTTAATGTAAGTTCTGGGCTATTGTTTCAGAGTGCTTATATCTGAGGTTTGACTACTTGATTCTTGTATCGGTTTGTACTAACTCCTATGATTTGGCTGTGATTCATAGATTGAACTCAAGGCCAAGTGGGAAACTGAGAAGTCAGTGCTTGATGTTCTGAAGAACGATGCAGATATGAAGTATAATGAGGTTAATGAACTGGTAAATGATTACTTATTTTTATATAATTTTGTTTTTGTGCTTATATGTCTCTGCGATTTTCCCTTTTTCTTTTTTCCCCTTTCACATGTATCTTACATTTAATATCATTATTTCTATTTTATTGGTTTCTTGAATTCTTTCTGAAGGACTGTCACTGGTTTTTATTTAATTATTTATTTTTTGCCTTCCATTTTGATTTTTTTACTCCCTTCTGAACCCATGCATCTCTCAGAACAAGGTATTACATAGCAAGTTAGAGGCTTTACACATCAAATTGGCCGAGAAGGACCGTCATTCTTCCTGTGTTTCTGGAAGCTCTTCTCAGGATTCTCTTGATGATGATAATGGTTTGGGACATATTGTAAATTACCTCCGACGCTCGAAAGAAATTGTATGCATGCCCCATCTTCTTCTTGTGCCTTTCACCGACTCTCATTTATTTAGCATCTAACTAAATTGGACTTCTACAGGCAGAAACAGAAATTTCTTTGCTAAAACAGGAAAAACTGCGACTTCAATCACAGGTAGCTCGACGTACCATTTTGATTTGCCTACACATAATTATTTATTTTCATGTTTCCGTTTTGTCCTATCTTGTATCTTTGGGGCTTAGGTTATCATGTAGGGCAATCATTTGTTGCCAGTTTGCTTAGTTTTACTAAATAGGACTGTATTAAACTTAACTAAGTCTTGAATGCCTCACTGGTAAAGTAAATTGGGGTGTCGTATATATATATATGTATGTATGTATGTATGTATATGTGTGTGTGTGTGTGTTACTAGCTGTGCTTCTCCGTGATCTATATGCTTTGATTTTTGGGCTTGGTGCTTCCCTATAAGGTTTTGAAGAGCATGACATGTTAACCCTCATTGGCATTTTGTGGCTTCCCTGCAACCTCAGTTATCTTATATGTCTTTATCTGCTCACATTTGGGGTTGGTTTTCCTGATAGGGTTGTGCATGGAACCCTATCAGGATTAAGTAATGTTAACCTGCATGGAACCTTAATGGATATCTGTTGTGTGGGCTTGTTGCAAACTGAGTTTTTTAAGCACAAGCATTTTGCATAACTCTGCAATAAGTGGCTGGTTGATATCCATAGGATTTAGTTTCTTCACGCACTATTGATACTTCAAGATTTTGAAATTTTAGCGGCGCTATTGATACTTCAAGATTTTAGTCAAGTTTGCTTCTAATGTATTTTTCTTCTTTTTGCTCTTCCAGCTTGAAACTGCTCTGAAGGCAGCAGAGTCAGCTCAAGCGTCACTTAATGCTGAGCGAGCAAATTTAAAGACATCGCTGTTCACTGAGGAAGAGTTCAAATCTCTACAGCTTCAGGTTAAAGTTATACCTTGCGTCTTCTTTCGATCCTTGCAATCGTTATTTGTCTTCTGTACATGACATTCTGTTGTCTTTTTTTTTAATAATTTTTTTGGGTTGAATTTACATTTTAGATGTTCACTTTTTTCTTGCTATTTTTTTTCCTTGTTTTGGCTTTTCCCCAATGTGACACGGACAATGTCATCTGGGGACCTGAAATTCTGCTGTTTAAACCACTGCAGGTTCGAGAAATAAGTTTGCTTCGGGAAAGTAACATTCAACTCAGAGAGGAAAACAGGCATAATTTTGAGGAATGTCAGGTTTGAATGTAGACAGTATACTTCTGTGGAATTGTTAGTTGATGTATTACGTTTGCTTTTTGGTAGCTTCTCTAACAAGAAAAAATTGTTGCTTTGTCCTAGAAACTTCGTGAAGCTCTTCAAAAAATTAGTATTGAAATGGAAATTAAGGAGAGAAGTCTTGAGGAGAGGCAAAAAGAGGTTGAAGCTTGTAGGAGAGATATTGAAAAACAGATGTTGGAGAAAGAAGATTTTAAACGGAAGGTTGATGAGGTATTGTCTTGAACCAGATTTTACCTTTCAATCCCTAAATCACTTTGGTTTGTCTTCTCATGGTTCTTTTCCCTCATCCTAAGTTATTGGAGAAGTCCAAGAGTTTTGATGTGGAAGATTATGACCGTTTGAGAGAATCAGTTCAGCAGATGCAGGTGGGTTGTATATTATCCTGAATTGGTCATTATGATCTCTGTTCCATTTTTGGTGATGATTGTGGAAATAATTTTATGTTCTCTTTGAAGTTATCTTCAGATTTGATCAAATCCTTGAATGATTTTACATTCGTCATTTGAGCTTTTTGATTAAACATGATTGGTGAGGACCAAGGTTTTTTGTTTTACCAGCACTTGGATTGACAAGTTTTCTGTGTTAAGCGTGGTTGTTAACATAGTAGCCAGTTGGTTTTTTGTCCTTAACCCTTGAAAACTTGTAGACCATTCTTTTGGGTTTTCATTATTGACTTTCTTGATTGATTTTGGAGGAAATTGGAAGAGGATTTTGTGACGGCCATTTGCCAGTCGCAAGTGGAAATCCTTGAATAGAAAATTATTTAAAAGATGGTGTTTTGCTTCTTCTGGCTTACTATAAGTTTTATTTGGTTTCTCCAAGGAATACAATTAAATTTAGAAACAGGATCCACGAATGTAGCTCATAATATTGATTACAGGGAGGGAATATGTTGAAGATGGATTGGAAAGGAAACATGAAAAATGGACAGGCATAATAAGGATATAACATGGCTTCTGATTTCTGAATTTGTTGGTAAACCTTAGATCCTTACCAACATGGCTTCCAATTTCTTCGTCTGTAGGTAAACCTTAGAGAAAAGGAAGCTCAATTAGAAGAAATGAAGGTGGTATTATCTGAGAGGCAAAGTGTGATATCACGTTTGGAGCAGGATGTTTCAAGGAGTAAAATAGAAAGGAATGAAAAGGAGTCCAGGATAAATGAAATATCTCGAGTTGAGGTACTCCTATTTGCATTCAATATGTAAATTTCACCTCAATTTCTTGATTTCTCTTTGCCTCGAGTTTTAGATCACAACTAATAGATTCTTGCATATGTTGTGATTCAGGCTTCTTTGAGATCAGATCTTGAAAAGCAGAGGAGGGTGATAGCTCAATTAAAGGTCAGCAGCGTGTTCTCGGATATACCTGGTCTTTGTTTACTTCTTGAAAAAATACCTTGGACGTTGTTCCTTGTAATAATTGGGTGTCTCATGATCTTCCATTCTTCTGATACTGCTTTCACTAAATAAGACCTTGGATGTTGTTTGTTGTAATAATGGGGTGTGTGATTACCTTACATTCTTGTGATGCTGCTTTTACTTTGCAGAAGAAATCTGAAACCTTGTCAAAAGAAAAGGAAGACATGAGCAAAGAGAACCTTGTTCTTTCCAAACAATTAGAAGATGCTAAGCAAGGTGTGGGTTCCTAACCATGCTTTCCGGAATTAAATGAGCTAGAATGCTTATCTGTTAGAGCATGGGGGCCAAAAAAAAAAAACTTTTGGTTTCTTATGGCAAGATGCATCACTTACTTTCAGTTCTTATGATAGCATTATAGCACTACAAAATTATCTTTCTCAGCTATTTTGTTGTCTTTTATAGTGAAAAGGAGTCTTGGAGATGCTGCAGGTGAGCATGCCATGAAGGAGAAGGAGAAGGAGAAGGAGGAGAAAGACACCAGAATACAGGTTCACACAACGACTCGATATTTTGTTGCTCTTTTGTTTTCCTCTTATAATGATTTAGCTGATACTTTCTTGCAATTTATGAAAGATTCTGGAAAAAACTGTGGAGAGGTTGAGAGAGGAATTGAAGAAGGAAAAGGATGAACATAAAACAGAGAAAGCAAAGCGACTGAAGACGCAGAAGACAATTAGTGACTCATATGAGACTGTTTCTCAGGTGTGCTTGCTCGTTGAACTGGCTTTTTATTTTTTAGACTTGTGAAGTGGATTGCTTGTTGTATTTGGATTA